ACTCACATACATAAGAAAAGCAGATGATATTGTTGCAACATGTCATACATGTTGAAATTATGAAGAAAACCATTTTTGATGAAGATGAAATGTAGGCTATTTATATTTCAATACAATTTGGCTGTTTTCTTGTGTATAACAAACATATGTAGTTATAAGCTATAAGCACATGTTATGTTTAGCAGCAAAAAAACTGATCAGCAACGGAGAAATGCTGTGAGAGCAGTGACAATAAAACATGCGTTGGCCGGGAATCGAACCCGGGTCAACTGCTTGGAAGGCAGCTATGCTCACCACTATACCACCAACGCTTGACGACACAGTAAGGGAAACGCGGAATTTTTTCCCGTTTTGGTTATTCTATTAAATCTGAGCTGGGTTGCAAAAACGAGAGACGCTTCATGCACACGAATCAGCGAGGTTAGCCAGGCAGAGCTATTAAACCACAATCTGCCAGAAATCACAATCCTGTAACCAATCAGGCTTCAGACTGAAGTTAGGACCGCCCACCTCATAAATGTAAAAATCATAGACTGTATATGGTAAAAATACATTAAATATATAAAATAATGTATGTTCTGTTTTATTCTCAACTTTTATTTATACATCAATTTATTGCCATATTTATTTATGCATTTTTTTCTTGTATTTATTTATTCCTGTATTTTTTTCCACATGTATTTATTTCAACATGTATTTATTATTTTATTCATTTATTTCCGTATTTATTCATACATTTATTTATTTATACTTATGTCATGTTCCTATCTACTTTCTCACATACAATGATGCAAAAGTATAGACTACAAAATAAAATACTAATTTCTACATAATATAAAAGCAAATCAGGTGTGAACTTTGGTTTAAATAGTGAATCGAAATGTTCAATGTAATGTCAAGAAATAGAATAAAGCTAGTTTGATTCTCAACAAGTGTAATGATCTCCATTTAGTAAAGCATATAGGGGGCTTATTACTATTATTATATTAAAATACTAAAACATTTTTTTTTAAATAATGGATGTTTGTTATATACAGCTATAGTTTAGTCCACCAGATGGCGGTGTAGTCTGTGGCAGACAGCTATCTACTGTGAGATTGATAGAAAACATGCAAACACAAAGACATGTAAATATATACCTTAATAAAACGAAAATGACTGTACTGTACTCAAGTTTGGAGGACGGAAACTGACGTAAGTTTAAATAAATGTAAGTGAACGTATTCGGTTTTATTTTCAACTTGTATTTATTTATACATTAATGTATTCATTTGTCTTCATATATGTACCTATTTATTTATTTCCTATTTATCTTAATATGTATTTATGCATTTGTTTAATTCTTCCTATATTTACTTCCGTGTGTATGCATTTATTTATGCAAAAATCAGTGGCCAGTACGGGTATCGAACCCGCGACCTTCGCGTTATTAGCACGACGCTCTAACCAACTGAGCTAACCGGCCATGCACATTACGAGTAAAGTAACCTATTCATACAACATCAGACAACATATTATGACACCTATCAACGTTTATGTTCACGGTATGCAGTAACGATATGTTGGATCGGACCTCGTGGCGCAACGGTAGCGCGTCTGACTCCAGATCAGAAGGTTGCGTGTTCAAATCACGTCGGGGTCAGTTGTATTGATATTACTTTTATTTACCTGATATACTAAGCAGCGTCTCAATTAACCACCGTCATCCCTCCGATTGGTAAAGCTTTTATATATTGAAACAAAATGATGGGGTAGGTATAATAAATAAATACAGGAATTAATATCTGTTAGAATAACCAAGACGGTGGCAACAAAGCATTTCACTTCCCAATTTATAGATACAGCTCTGGAATACATTCAGAGACCACTGCAAAATGATCAGTTTCTCTGGGTTTACTCTTTATATATACAGTCTATGGTTTTACTACCTGTAGCCTATGTGTTTAATTTTTTTATTTTATAAACTACTGACAACATTTCTCTGTGTTGGGTTTCAACCTATACAGTCTATGGTTTCAACAGACACTGGAATATAATGGCTAACATACATGTAGCGAATGAGAATGAGAGTGGTCTTTTAATAATTTTCAGAGCTGTATGTCGAGTATGTGAAATGCCGCCAGCATAAAAAAACAGGGCTCGTCCGGGATTTGAACCCGGGACCTCTCGCACCCTAAGCGAGAATCATACCCCTAGACCAACGAACCGACGTCCGAATCGTAAGTAATAAGAAATTATAAAGCTCGCAACGGCATGATCCTTAGACGTTAATTTTAGATTTTATTTTTGCAGGGGATCCTAAAGTCCTCATATTTTTTTAGTACGCACGAACACAGACAAACATTTTTTAAATCCCGTGGTAACATAATGTGTTTACTAAAAACGACAGAAACCACGAGCAGATACATTGTTTCCACAAGGGCCATTCTTTCTGTTTTATATTTGTTTGTCTTACATTTGCTAAAAAAAAAATGTAGACATTTTATGTTAAATTGGCACTTCCCCAAACTGGTGGAGACCTAACCGCAGATAGCGTAGCTAAATATTAGCCTGACATGTTTGCTAGCTAGCAACAGTAGGCTAAGACTTGTAAGGTTAGTAAGAAAAACATGTACATATTTAAACTATTTATTGTTGGCTAATGGTAAGTAAAAATGCTATTTGCTATAAGAAATACTACATACCTGAATCAACATCATTAGTTTGATCCATGGGGTCAACAACAACACAAACAACAAGTAGGCGCGGCTGTTAGTGGCTAACGTAACTTGCACCTTGCTGTGTGTTTGCAACAGTTGACTGCAGGTTAGACTGGTTTGCACTAGCTGGTGAGATATTATACTTAACTGCAATTACTAGCGTTATATATACCGTCTGTAGTTATTACACACTAATTAGGCACTAATTTGAGTTGAGCATCAGCTAACTAGCATAGGCCATAAAGACCATGCGTCATAATGTATGATTGTGCTATGGCTGTACCTATGGCTGTAGTACCTGTACCTACCTTACCTGTTGGAGGGCCACAGGGCAGAGACTGCTGCTGGGTTTCTTCCCCCACCTCTGTCTACCACTCTCTTTGCATATTTTATGTACACAATACCTCCAAATTCCCATTAGGTAGAGAACACAGCAGACTTTACATGGTAGCTTCCTCAACTTTTGGTAATAGACTAGTTGCCAGCTCATAGAGTCCTATTGTATAACAATGTATACATACAGTATTTATATATATAAGGGAATAATAGGCCTGCTACCTTACTCCAGATTTACTGTGTGTCAATTTTGTTCTGTCAACACAATATTGTTTAAGAATAGGGATAATGAAATCATAACATAAAGTTATCAAAGTTTTAGATTCTGTCACAGAATTACCCAATGAAGGACATGCCTTTGATAATGCTTTAATGTTGCAAGATCCCTAGCAAAATAGCTGGTAATCAAATTACCTAAAAACAGTTGACGTAGTGGGTTATTGGAGCGCTTCTGTTGTAGAGGATGTGGCTGTTGTGGAGGACTACAAGTACCTTGGAGTGCACTTAGGCAATGGACTGAACTGGAGGATCAACACTGACGCTGTGTACAAGAAGGGGATGAGCAGACTCTATTTTCTGAGTAAGCTGAGATTCTTCAACGTGTGCAGCAAGATACTGGAGATCTTCTACCAGTCTGTTGTGGCCAGTGCACTCTTCTTTGCTCCGGTCTGCTGGGGGGGCTGCATCAGAGCCGGTGACACCAGCAGAATCAATAAACTGATCAGGAAAGCTGGGTCTGTCATCGGCATCAAGCTGGACCCCTTTGAAGCTGTGGTGGAGAGGAGGACACTGAACAGGCTGTTGTCCATCATGGATAACCCCACCCATCCTCTCCACCTGCAGCTGGACAGTCAACGGAGCTCCTTCTCCAACAGACTGCTGCAGCTCCGCTGTCACAAGGACCGATACAGGAAAACATTCCTGCCCACTGCAATAACTATGTACAATAAATCACCTCTGGCTGGCAGAGAACTCTCTGCTCCATAGTTTCTCTTGGAATAAAACTACATTGTACATTTTACATTTATATAATCTGTTCAATATTTAATATTCCATCTGTCATATATTTATGTATATATTTATGTATAATACCTTGTTAATTCAACATGTATATTTTCTACTTTCTTGTTTATTTCTAGTCTTTGAATTTTTATTGTACAATACCATATATTTTTATGTTGCTGCAATGCAAAAAAATACCAAATTGGGATCAATAAAGTACTATCTTATCTTATCTTATCTTAAAACATACTGCCAGACACACAAAAAAGGGTAACACATGGCAGTTGGGTGAAGATTCAGGTATTGCATTCACAGTAAACCATGAACTCATACCTTGAACTCAAAGTATTTCATATTCAAAAGGCTTTGAAAAGTAGCCCCTGTATATAGGATTTGCATTCCCTTGCATTAGGACAATGTTGGGATAATAGAAATGTAACTGTACATCTTTTGCCAAGAGTGAATCAAAAATGTTTCTATTTTTAAAATATTGGAAATTCTATAAATATATAGTATGCACCTGTGGCATACAACATCCTTTATTTGTATGTCTTTCGCCCATCTATCTGTTTCAGCAAGAGCAGCAGGGTAGCTTGTATATGTTACTCCAGGTGTAAGTTTTGTTATATTTCACATTATTAATCAAAATGTGTAAAGTAACTAAAGATAGTAAATAAATGTAGTGGAGAACAAGTACCCTTTCCATCTCTGAATAATAGAAGTAGGCCTAGTAGAAGAGTAGAAGTACAAATTACTTGAGTGAATGTACTTAGTTAGGCCTACTTTACACCACTGCTGATTATTTATTATCTTGTATTTATCAATGCATTTATAGATTTAAATACGGATGTGTTTTGTGATATATTTTTGTTCAACATGAGAGTGATACAAAAACATGGATAATATTCACCTGGTTGTTTGAGAAAACCGCACCAGTCAGCAAATCTGTACACGGCATACGGGTTTTGGTTTTATCAGATGTCATGTGACCTACACTCAGCCATCTTGTGGAAATCGAGAGAGAGAGAGAGAGAGAGAGAGAGAGCGCCACACAACTCGCATACAAACCTTGTGCTGTCAGAACAAGCAGAGGTAAGACAGCCAAAGTTTAATACACTAACGAAGGAAAATCGTATATTTCGGTAAAGCTCCATGTCAGAGAGTCATATTGTGACGAGCTGTTGTGCTTGGGATTGTTGTTAAACCAACATGTTTGCTTGGCCTCGCAGCACCGGGCTCCAGTGACTCAGTATGCCGCGTCCGGACCGAGTGAAGTGCGGGATGGTTAGAGGAGGAAATGTTGTTGTGGATCCAGGCTGCGCGAAGGCCGCGTGTAGCTAGTTAGCCCAACTGTTAGCATGCTAGCATTGAGGATAGGGATTAACTCCTGTGTCAGATCAGTGTTGCCTTGGTCATTTACGTTAGACCATATGACAATGCGTCTTTCCTTATGGGTAACACATGTATTTCAGTGCATTATGTCTCATCTTCACGTATGACACGCAGACATTAGCTACGTTGGGATATAACGCTTATTGCTAGCTGGCGAAATGCAGATGGCTAGCTAATGCGCTAGCATAACTACCGTTGGCTAACAAGAATACCCTGGTGTGGCAAATGCAAGTAGAAAGTAACACAACTCTACTGCCAACATTCAACATAACTATTAATCCACGGTCAACCATTATCCGATAGGAAATGTGTTGACTAATGTCAGTTACGTTCGTCTTGTGTAAAGCTACATTACCCATGTTAGCTGTGCATTGGACTGGTTAGCTTGCTATTTTAGCTAACGTTAGTGATGATTTCCACTTAACCTTCCCGATTGACTATTTCGGGTCTTGCCAACTTTAACATGCATCAGTAGTGTTAACCAGAGTTAGCCACAATGTACTACAGCACGGTGGGTTAGTGTGACTCACGGTATTTAGCTGTGTGTTTGATTTGCGTTAACGTTACACGATGTACAGAAAGTGTTAAGTTAACAATCGGGATAGCTTTGAAAGAACACAGGGATCTGTCACCTTTTTCGCTGATTCAATCCATATACCTTTTTTAAAAGTCACAACCAAACTTTTAAAGGGTATTTTGTTTTGAACGGATTGGGTAGTTTGCGAGATAGGATCAAAAGTAATTTCTTACAAGTCGTACCTTTTTTATTTATTTAAACTTTTGTTTGTATACTGTATTTTAACACTGGTGCATGTGCAAGTCGTGTAGGGGAATTGTCACAAATGCTTGTAACTTCAATGTAGTTATTGTATTTATTGCTTTAACCACCAAGTTACACGTGGCTTATCCTGGCTTCCATATGGTCAGTGTGTGTACTGTCGCCGTTTGTGCCCGATATTTGAACAAGCTTTGCCAAGTCATAAATCATTGTTTTCCAGTCAAAGTATGAAGGAAAAGTCTTGGTAATGGATAAACATATATAAAAGAACTTCAAATCCTATTGGCAAAAAACATTTTTTTAGTGGTTTATTTCCTAAAGGCTGCATTCGTTGTCAGTTACAGGTGTCCAGACCCTCTTTGCAGACTGGGAGACTTCCTAAAATAGCTTGAGCAGATTGAAATTGTACACTGCTAGTGGGATGGGCTATATATCCTGAGGAGTTGTAATTCTTTAGAGCTGGTAACAAAACCTTACATCTATTTCCAAATTATATTGAGCAGAATTTTTTTTCTATGGTAAATTAGTTGTGATAAATAATTGATTAAGAAAAACCGTTATTGTAAAACAACATGGTTTATATTGTATTTTTGTAGATAGTTATTGATTGCAAGATGGTACTGCAGTTAACATTGACAATAACCTAATCTAGTTTTCCTTAAAAAAAAAATGCAAATGATTTTTTGAATGGTAATACATGTGCATCCCTAAAACCACAGACTACTGAATTGTTAGTAAATGTTTATTTAACAAAACAAGTTACATCATCTGTAGAATTTTTCTTTTCTGTCCAATTTTTAGGTAAATTATTTACAGAGACAATGTGTACATTTAATTTCCAACCGTAGTACTGCTATACTATAATGATACTAAGTGGCACTAATCCCTTTTCTTCTTTTTATATCTGTAGAACTTCGAGGAAGAATGGCCGAAACCCAGACACTTAACTTTGGACCAGAATGGTAAATGAACTGGCATAAATTCATGATTGGTCGGAATGAAATGATTTGGAAGTTGTGAAACTGGTTTTATGTAAAGTCATACATGTTCAGACATGTCTAGTGCCACCTCAGCTTTTTAAGTGTTTTCTGCTCTTCTTATGTCCCTTCTGCTTTTACCACCCTTTCTCCTCCTCTCTTTTGCAGGCTCCGTGCCTTGTCTGGAGGTGGGAGCAGCGGTATTGGTGGTGGTGGAGGAGGCGGCTGTGGGGTTGTCTCTCCACCCCTCTCACCTGCATTGCCAAAGTATAAACTCGCAGAATATCGCTACGGAAGAGAAGAAATGTTAGCACTTTATATAGAGGATGACAAGGTTGGTAGGCCTCCAGATTATATTAATTATTGTATAATTAAATAACTTGTACAAGTTGTATTCCTGCCAGGATTAGATATTCATTCTCCTTGTTTTCGTCTAATTGTTTTTCTCTCTGCCAGATCCCCTTAGACCTTCACGATAAAGAGTTCCTGCCCATATTGCAAGAGGAGCCCTTGCCGCCCCTGGCACTCGTGTCTTTTACAGAGGAGGAACAGGTAGGTGTTCTTTTACCAGGTCTTTATCTAGGTCAGAGATCAGAAACAGTTCCAGACCAAGATATATATCATACTGCCCTCAGGCTTATTGTAATTTCTCAGATTGCGTTTGGCAATCTGGTTACCAAATAAAGAGCAGGCAGAAAGTTAAGAGTGTATCTTTTGTCCCCAATCCCCCCTCCCTCTTTTGTGTTTGCAGAGAAATTTTTCCATGTCTGTAAACAGTTCAGCTGTACTCCGGCTGACAGGGCGTGGAAGCGGTCCGATAGTAGGGGCACCAAGAGGCCGAAGTACCTCAAGGGGTAGAGGTAAGAATTTAATTAAGATCATACCAGGATGTTTCATGTTTCCTTGCTCTTTTCAATGGTGGATTTCTTTTTTAAGTTACTCTTTATTTAAGCTATTTTGCCTATGCAGTTTCAGAAGTCACAACAAGCATAGATATTTAGGAAGCCTTTGAAGAATCCTGCCAGCTGGGACAAGGAGTGTAATATTAGCACTCTGTAGGTATTGTGCCTGATCAGCACACATTACTGCAGCTGCTTGAATTGTTGATGTGTCTAAAACATGGAGAAACCTGTTTGAGTTCAGTCTGATGGTATCAAGAACACACACACATTCAGACACCGTATTCCTCCTCAAATCAGTTTAATCTGCATTCTGTATTTTACAGTGCTTTTTATACTGCTAAATCTGAAGGCTCAACCTACTCCCCAACTCTCAAGTACTGTCAATTCAGTCACTTGATAGTATCGACCGTTTTTAAAACGCATAAAATAATAATTTGACCAGTGGGGTATTTACTAAAGGATTTTATGTTGTAGAACAAAACATGAAAACATGTATTTGGCTTTTGTAAACCACAGACCTTACTTCAGCCATCTAATCAAAAAATAAAAGCATTGACTTGAATACAAGCAAACCAGCAATGCTAAAATGCTGACTCATTTCTGGGTTTTAGGACTCATTCCTGCACCACTCTTTTTCTTCACCACTTTAGCTCTTGTTCTCTTCACTGTTTATTGTGCATCCTTGTATAAATATGGAAAAGTACAGCATTATTAGATTTTGGGCATGGATCATGGTATTTCAGCTATATATGTATGCGTATTATAGGGCTGCTCGATTATGGCAAAAATCATAATCTCGATTATTTGGGTCTAATTGATATCACGATTATTAAAAACGATTATCCATTTACTTTGAAAACATCAATTACTTGAAAAAAAAAAAGGTGTAGTATGTTTTTAACAGTTGATTACCCTGAACCTTAAGTATAATTCAATTGAAAACCCAATTAAAAAAAATATTTTTGTTTTTTTAAATTAATAATAATAATAAAAAATAAAAAGAACAATCGTTTTATTTCGATTATGTTGTTTTCATAATCGTTGCAAGCCAAAATCGTAATTGCGATTAAAATAAGATTAATTGAGCAGCCCTAGCGTATTATAAAGTGAATCCACCCAATACTAATGGCTGCACAAGGTGCTATAGACTTTCTGATGTGGAAAATCTACATATGTCTTGTGCGACCCCTGCTGAGGTTTGAATTGAATTTGGTCCTTTGACCACATGTTGAATATCCCACCTAAAGACTAGTTCATGCTAAGCAGTCGCACATAGTAAGTAGCTAATTAACCCTCTTAAGGTCACGTTAACTCACGTCAACCTGTGGTTGTCCTCAGGCCGGGGAAGAGGAGATGGAGGGTTTTACCAAAGAAGTTTTGATGATGTGGAAGGTTTTGGTCGTGGAGCGAGGGAGATGCATCGCTCCCAAAGCTGGGAAGAAAGGTATGAAGATGCCCATTTGTGGTGTTACGTTTAAAAGAAATAGTTTTAACCGTATGCAAATGCTCATTCAATATGTTTGTAATGAGCATACATAATGTGTTTTTATTTATCTCACTAGGGGAGAAAGAAGGTTTGAAAAACCAGGTCGAAAAGACCCCGGTCAGTGTTAAATTCTGTTGCACTAATAATCAATACATGATGTATTCATTGGCAAAAGCACTGACTTATCTACTTGTTGCTCTCTCTCCTCAGTTGAAGTTGTTCCAGGACATTTTCCGATGATTCCCGGTAAGTGTGCTTTTGTTGTTTAAAATTGACCAGTGATTTCAGATTTCTTAAGTAAGTGTAAACGGCTGTGGTTGAAAATAACAGTGATAGCTTTACTTTTAACTAACCCTCCACCCACTACTCTCTGCAGTCCGAGTCAACTATGAAGACGGTGTAACCGGCCTACCGAGGAAGCAAGACTTCACGCGTTCAGAGAGTGAGAACTGGCGTTCTGCTCAGAATGGTGAGGATGATGAGGGGGGCTGGTGCCCGGCGGGGTCTCGATGGGACAGTGAGCGGTGGTGCCTCCCGAGCCCAGGTGGGGGCAGTACTGACCCTTTAACCAATATCTCTATATTCAAATGAAAAAGAAGCTTTATGTTGACCTGCAGTGTTTGTTGTTTAGTTAGTGACTGATTAGGGTGCAGTTGTGTTGCAGTCTGTAAACTGTTGTAGGGGCTGTCACACGTATTTCAGCGCGCGACAGAATATATTCTTACCTTCTGCTAACTTAAGGGGTATTTTCAAGCACAACTTCTTCATGTGTATGATGGAAAGTTTGTCATTGTGGATATCAGCATAATATACTTCAACGAATGGCACATGTTTTATGTAAATGGCATAATTCAATGCAAGCCTAATTGCGGCCATCTTCATGAAGCTACTGTACATTTTGGGATTATGATTGTTTCAAAATGCTACCTATTTATCTTTTCAGCGGAAGGGCCTCGGTCGGCAGGGTGGCGGGAACTCCCAGATCAGCGTCGTCGTTTCCCATTCGATGCCAGAGAAGACGAGCGTGGCTACAGGAGGCCGCGATCAGGCAGCGGCAGCCTGGACGACGACAGCCTGCCAGAGTGGTGTCTGGAGGACGCAGACGAGGAGGCGGGCACCTTCGACTCATCGGGGGCCTTCCTCTCACTCAAGGTTAGAGGACACCTGAGAATAAATCAATGAGTTTCTTTTGAATGAAGTATTGATTTGCCATTTATTCATATAAATGGCTCGTCCACACTATTACGGAGCAGATCATCTCTTTGGGGCCAAGTCTGAATGTTCTTTGGGATACTAGCTTTGTAGTTGCTGTAATTTTGTTCTTTTTGTGTATTCAGAAAGCTTCCAAGGAGCCAATTCTGGAGGAGGGAGAGCTGGACTTCAAACCCTTGGAAGAGTGTGAAGAAGGCCTGGAAGAGGACGACTGTCAGCTCAAAGGGACCAAAGATATTGAAACGGATGCAGAACGAAAAGGTCAGATATGTTGTTTTTCCTTACTCATGGTTTCCCTCGGCGCATCAGCCCAATACAGCAGGGATTTGCATTTCCATTGCACTAAGGCTACCTGCTTCAAGGTGTGTCTTTAACTCCATCCTTTCTTAGGAGTGGCTGTGAAACAGTGGATAAGACTTTTCATTTCCATTGAAGCCTTCTAAATATAAGTAACTTTGTTTTTGAAAGGCTTTTAATATGAATATCATATGATATTCAGAAACTCCATCAGCAGTAACTTTACAAGACTGTTGTCATAGTGAAGGTGAAATCAAATGTGATACAGATATTTGAAAGTACAAGCAAGGATTTAGAAGATCATTTAAAAATACTAACCACAGAGATTTGGTATGAAGCTACAAAAATACTGAAAGCTTAAAAAAAAAAAACACGTTTGTCTCTGTGACTCAAATAGCTATGTTTATTGTTTAGTACTGCAACATCATCCCTCAAGAGAACTCGCATCTTTTTTTAGACAAGGCCCCCATCTCATTACTATAAATCTTTTTCTTTTTTTTTTTATATAGAGTATTCGAGAGCATCAGAGGCTTTACCTGCAGCCCCTCCGGTCTCCGAGCCTCACTCTCGGTCCCTGATCCAGCCAAACGGAACAGAAGAGTCCGAGAGGCCGATTGAACGGCAGCCACCGTTGGAGCTGCCCCCAGAGAACGGCAAAGCCCCCCTGAACGTCCCCATGTCCAACAGCATGCGTGAATCCCTACCCATGAACCACATTTCTACAACCCTTGCAGGTGGGATTTGAGTTTTTAATTTCCCCTTTAAAATGACTTGTGTTTTTTTTAACCATTTATCCACACCTACCAAGAAAACTACCTAATATCCAATTTTCACTCATGCTGTTTTTGCAGAAGTATCTGCTCCATCACCCAGCGTCCAGCTACCGCAAAAGCACATGGTGGTCCCCACGGCGATGAAACATCCTTTGTCCTTCTCCTCGAGTTTAATGGCACCTATTGGCAGGCCCACGGCTGTGTCACACGACACAGATGAAGACGAGAGACTCAAACACTTTGAGCAGGTAAGTTGGCACATCTAACATGAAAATCTGTCAAAATCAGGCTAGCCTGTATTCCACAAACAGTAGTGAGATATCTCCAACTGAATTGAAGGATCTCTTAAAATCATGTACTTATTGCAGGGTTCTTACGGTCATTAAAAACCTGGAAAATTCATGGGAATTCAAAAATGCTAATTCCAGGCCCTGGGAACAAAAAAAATTCCCCCAAAGTTTTGGAAAAGTCATGGAAATGTAACTAAAGTTGCATCAAATATAATTTATATTTTATCTAATCGCGGAAATAGTAATACTGTAATGATAAATACTGTATCGTATAGTAATGAAACGTAAAATGGCATTTAACTGTCGAGGTATTTTGCTGGTGAGAGATTTGAGTTGCTTTAGCGTGTAGAAGCTAGTACGCCTACTATTTGATTTGTTTTAGACATAACATGTTTCAGACCTTATTTTCCTGTTCCATGTTAAAATAAACCATTTTCAGTGGTACCGCTGAGAAAGAGTAATTTGCTTGGTCATGGAAAATTAGGTAAGGGTCATGGAAAAGTCATTGAAAATCATTGGTGAAAAAGTGTATGAACCCTGTTATTGAAAAGGTTATTTTGAGAATTATAACAGAGGCGTGGCTATTCTTTATTTGAATACTGTGATCTGTGATACATTCCATAGAAGACCATAAAACAATAAAGACAACCCGTGTCCACTAACACTCCAAACACCAGCAGCCATGTTATGTTTGGTCCTAACCCTTTTTTGGTAACGGGTATCTAATTTATTTTCTAAAATGTTGTCTTTCCCCCATGTTTGACCAGGAGGCAGAGAAGATGGTAGCATACCTTCAGGATAGTGTGGTGGATGATAACAGACTTACAGTAAAGACTTCAGAGAAGCCCAAACCTGTAGGCCTTCCGCTCACCAACGAGGCCGCTCTCAAATGGTTCTACAAAGACCCCCAAGGGGAGATACAGGGTGAGAGATTTGAAGAGGTTTTATGTGCTCAAAATGGAACCTAAATTCTGTATATTTCTTTTCACAACAGCTGCAATACCACGCCTTAATCTCTTCTGCTCCCTTTTTGTTCTCTCTCAGGACCATTCAGCAACCCAGAGATGACGGAGTGGTTTCAGGCCGGTTACTTCACCATGTCTCTCTTGGTCAAAAGAGGGTGTGACGAGGTGTTTCAAGCACTGGGGGACATAATAAAGATATGGGGGAGAGTACCGTTCACACCTGGCCCAGCACCGCCTCCTCTACAGGTAAATGTTTGATATGTGTTCTGTTTCATTCATTATGTCCAAAGGTTTGCTTTGTTCTCAGCACTAGTTGCCAGTACTAGCCAGCAGGGGGTGTGATAGTCCACACTTTTTGCCAGTAAGATGTGTCAGGGTAATATTTCATGTACTTTTAAGACCCTTCCTCTCTTCACTTGATGAATTTTGTAAAGGTTTTGTTATGATGCAATTGAGATTTTCTCTTTGAGATGGCAACATTTACAGCTTGCAGATATAACTGCTTTCTGTTTTTTAAAGTAATTTAGTGTCTTGTTTCCTCGATCCTTTTAATGATATTGGCACCCAAAGTTAAACTACTGTACACTGTAATCAGTTGTTAGCATGATCTCTCCATAGCAACAAGGTCAAACTGATTGGTTTATGTTTATTGAAGATGAAATCACCCTTTGAAAATTATATTTAGTAGATGCAACTGTAGTGGCAATTGTAGCCTTGGTTGAATGGGAAAAGGCCACTATTGGCTTTTAGCACAATTGGATATGCAGTTCTAAACTTGTTTGTTTCTATCTACCTTTTGCTGTTAACGGCTATGATTGATCCTGTCTTATGTAATGCAGGCTGAAGGTGATCAGGAGAGGTTGAAGAGGCAGCAGGAGCTCACTGCTCTCAACCTCTACCAGTTACAGCAGCTCCAATATCAATACCTCCTCAGGTACACCCCTCTCACATCTGACACTACTTTGTTTGCCGTGGCAGCCCGATTGCTTTTGTTTAATTCTGACAATAACAAATACACACATCTTAAACTACTTCACTTCCTGGACTTAATACAGGAATAGAGTTAATCGATGCTACATGAATCAAAATGGCTCTCCACCACATAATACAATTATAAATGATATATTACTAAAACTAAATCACATTAATGCATATAGGAACTGAACATACAGTACATTATTTGTCTATATTCATGTGAACAGTAACATATTTTTCCTGTTTGTCTCAATAATCTCGTCCATTTGTCCTCCAATGTTCAGGCAGCAGTATGCTCAGGCGCTGGCTCAGCAGAAAACTCTGAACTCAGCTCCTCTTCAACAGCAGCAGCAACACCAACAGCAGATCAACCTGCTTCTACAGCAATACCAGACCCTCAAGCTAAGGTTGGTACCCTACCTCTTAATACATCTGTACCTGTAGTTAAAGGTAGGGTAGGTAAGAATGGAGAAACCAGCTCGAGTGCGCTAGAATTTGAAAATACACAACCGAAAAAAATCTGCCCCTTCCTTCAGACTTCCTTATAGAGCCCCTCCTCCAACACACACAAACGCACACATGACCAATGAGGGCACGAGATAAATTTGTGCACAGATGGAAGGCTGACAGGCAGGTAGGCCATCCAGTTATTTTAGCCGGGCCGGCTAAAATGATTGGTCGTACTTTTTACAGTATTACGGCTTCCACAGATGACTTTTTTTAATGTATTTATTGTCAAAGCACTTAAGATATTCATTGCTATCGGGATGTTAAGAGCATTCCATGGAATATAACAAAAAGTGTATCTGAAGTGAATTACCTACCCTACCTTTAAGTGATTATAAATGTTGCCTTACATTTATTATTAGGGCTCGGACATGTACATCATTTTGCATAATGGGCTGTAAGAAGTGTTGCTGCACTCGTTCAAATCATGGATTCCTCGAGAAATCGTTGGGAGTCATTTAGACGGAGCCCAACAATGTGGCTCTGTAAATTGGAAATGGCTTATCACAGTAGTACAACTGTAATGCACGAACACTTGTGAAAGAGAAAGCATTAGGAGAGTATTGTCAATATGATATATTAAGAGTATCAACTAATTTTTGAGTGAGGAGGATTCACTTAAAATGTTCCAAAGGCTTCATCTCCCCATGTTTAAAGAAAGACACTGATTCTCCATTTCAGGAAAAGGGTTGCTATGACAAACGGGGACTAAATCTTTTTTTTTGTGCGACGTATTTAATATTTATCTAAAATAATCTTCTTTTAAAATGGGTTATCATAAGGAGTCTTGAGAAGAGTCAATAATGCCTTTTTAAGTGCAGCCTTATTTATCAACATGTATGTTTTTGCAGAGCGTCAGAGAGCCCCCTCCCTCCTGTGACCCGCTCCCCGTCTGTACCTGATACGGGTTCTGTGTGGGAAATGCAGAACTCGTCCTCTCAGGCTTCCTGTACACCCAACGTTCAACAAGCTGCTCCAAACAGTGAGTCTCTGCCTTGAATATTATAATACGTTTGCTTCTTTTGTAACCGCATGATAACAATTAAAAAAAATGTATGTCGTATTACAGCAGGTGTAATGCATCATGTTGTATCGCACTCAACAGCGTGGGATGGCAGCAGCGTGTGGGATTTACCCATCGACTCCGTGGCTCAGGCGCCAACCATCGAGCAGATGCAACAGTTGGAGAAGTCAAAGTCTGCTAAGGTATTCCTGCTTTCTGTTGTCAGTGTGAAATGGTTTTGAAAAGGCTCATCTAACGTCATGATCAGTGTTTCCGCCAGACCAGTGCTGAGAGGGCGTCCACCCCGAGAGCGGGGGGAGGGGGGTGTGACGTCACGTCGGTGTTGTGTTTTTTTCGTCACAGGAACACACTTTGCTGGTGGCGAAAAGAATCCCACCAGACTCCTTTGCCCCTCCAACTGAGGGATGTCCTTTTTCCTTTTCGTAATTTCAAGCGATAAAAACTCTCGATCTTCCCTCAAATTATTATTTTTTTTGGACGCCCTTGACTCGAGTTCAGGGCGTTCCGAGCTGAATAAGGGCCTCAAATGACGGCAAGACGCCCGTCTGGCGGAGACGCTGGTCATGATTGCATTCAATTATCTTGTTTTGGAATTTTTAAGGCTCAAAATTGTAGTTTCTTGTTTCGAAAGATGAGTTGAAGTATGAGTTAAGATATAGGATTGGTCGAAAATGTTCCCTACCATAATAATTTTCTTGTATCATCCCACAGTTGGAGTTGGAAAGGCGCGATGCAGAAATGAGAACAAAAAGGGAGGAAGAGGAGAGGAAACGGCTAGAAGAGGCCATGAGGGCGCGACAGGAGGAAGAACGCAAGCACTTAGCAGAAGAGGAGCTGGCACGGCACAAACAGGTGGAGCATTCACACGATGTCAATCTGAAGGACTTCATGCCTTAGAGCTACTTCTTTATCGTGAGGCAATTTTCTGTGATGACTGACTGTGTTGTGAATCGTTAGGAGGAGGCATTAAGACGGCAGCGAGAGCAAGATGAGGCACAACGCAGGCAAAAAGAGGAAGAGGAGAGAATGGCACAAGAGGAAGCTCTCCATAGATTAGAAGAGAGGCGGAGGGAAGAGGAGGAGAGAAGGAAACGAGAAGAGTTCCTTCGCAAACAGGTAACGAAAACATGTCACACACTTCCTACCTCCTATCTGGATTTATGAAATCTCTCCCTAAATAGAAATGTGTTCTACTTTTATCAGGAGGATGAGCGCAGAAAGCAGGAGGAACTAGAAGCACTGAGGAGGCGCGAGGAGGAGAAGCGAGCAGAGGAAGAGGCAGCAGCTGCTGCGGCTGTTTTAGCACAACAACAACTGGAGGAGCAGAAGAGGAGAGAGCAGGAGGCCCAAAGACAGCAGGAGCAGCAGAGACAGAGGCAGCAGCAGCAGGAGGCGCTCAGGAGGCTGCAGCAGCAACAGCAGCAACAGCAGCTCGCACAGATGAAGGTAACGGCACAGAGGATGCAAAATGGACAGTACAAAATATAAACAAGGTCATTAAATACATCGTCCTGCTCTGCAGCTTCCGTCCTCTTCAAAGTGGGGCCAGCAGTCGTCGGTCAGCGCTGTGAACCAGAACCAGAGCGCCCTGTCACTGGCAGAGATCCAGAAACTGGAAGAGGAGAGAGAACGACAGACGCGAGAAGAGGTAAAGACTGCAGCCATTTCCTTTTCATCTCTCCAAATGTTGTTTTTACGCACACTAACTCGTGTCCTATTTATCCCTCCTCCCCCCCCACAGCAGCGGCGTCAGCAGCAGGAGATGCTGAAGCTCCAGCAGCAGCAGGCCCTGCATCTGGCTCAGCAGCCCCAGGCCAAGATGTCTAGCTGGGGCAGTGTGGCCACACAGCCGGCTGCCACCAAGTCGCTGCTGGAGATTCAGAGGGAGGAAGCCCAGCAGATGAAACAGCGGCAGGAGCAGCCGCCACCACAGCAACAGCAGCAGCAGCAGCAACAACAACAGCAGCCACAGCAGCAGCCGCAACCACAGCCTGTCGTCCCACAGCAGAGCCGCAGTCAAAACAAAACTGTAAGAGACCAATTTTGCACTGTGTCTTATCAGCTAAAGGAGGATATAAGAAATGTACGTGTCCAAAATATTTATTTTGTAACTAACGTTTGGTTATGAAAGCTTGGTTACTCTGAGCAGCTTATTAATATAAGAAATAGCTGCTTAAGAGACAGAATAGGCACTATTTCACTACACAAATCTCATAGAAATTCAAATGATCATCAAAAAGATTTAATATTTTTGCAAAAGAAATAAAAGGGCCAGACGCCAGCATAACATTTATCCTCACCTTTTTGTAATAGATCATTATTTCAGGATTTATTTGAATACAAATGCAACACTTAGGAAAGCTGTTGAACACCTTGGGTTTAAAGAAATTGTGATGTGCATTTTGTTACGTTTGTATGAGCCAATCACTGATTAGGTGATTAAATAATAAGCAGATGAATCACTAATGAAATGTATTGCGTTGTCAGTAACATTGTCTTGCTCTCTTCACAGACATCGTCTCTGAGTAGCTCAGTTTGGGGCTCCATGAACACGAGCCCATCCACTAACTGGGGCTCGGACTCCAGCAGCATTTGGGGCGACACAAACAACTCTAACATGGGCTTCTGGGATGAGGCTGTGAAAGAGGCCGTGCAGCAACCGCCTCCAACCAAGAAAGCCAGCGCGCAGAAGAACAACAAAGGCAACGCCAACCTCAGGTATTTAATAAGAAGGCCAAAAATAACCTTTGTTAGTCACAACCTCCTGCATGACTTACCATGTATGGATATGAGTAATACACAGATCCTAATGACTTCTTTTTGTCTTCCTCCTGCCTTTTTGTGTACACGTTAAGTAACTCTGTGAGTGGGCGGGTCAATAAGAAAGCAGAGGAGGAGGAGGAGAAGTTGGTAAAGTTGTTTCAAGGGGTCAATAAGAGCCAGCAGGACACCTTCATGCAATGGTGTGAGCAAACCTTGCACACCCTCAACACGGCCAACAATTTGGATGGTGAGACTTTAAAAATATACTTTGAAGGGCAGTCCACCTACAACTATTGGAAAAACCATTCCTGGAAGCCAAACTCACAAATATTCTCCGTCTGTCTCCCTGCCAGTTCCCACGTTTGCATCCTTCCTGAAAGAAGTGGACTCTCCGTATGAGGTGCACGACTACGTCCGGGCCTATCTGGGGGACACTCCCGAGGCCAAGGACTTTGCCAAGCAGTTCATCGAACGACGTGCCAAACAGAACGCTAACCAACAGAAACCGGCACCGCAGAACCAACAGCAAGCCCTCAAGCAGCAGCAGCAGCAGGTGAGCCAGACTGAAACCGAACCAAGAGTTAAAGAGTCAACATATGGTGTTGGTCTTGTGTTCACAGATAGAGACGTCTGTCCCTCTTGCTGCCCCAAAAATAGATTGTACTATGGGTTATTTCTGACTTACATGATCAGAGCAACATATCTCTGACGTAGTTTTGCTGTCATTCTCCATCAGCCACAACTGTTATTTACATTTCACCCAGTGACTCCCTCCCTCACGTCACCCCCTTGGATCAGCCCCAAAATATGTAATTGCGCCGCTTATTCCTTGTTACCTAATGGGAATGAAAACCAAACATGTCCATGTGTTCCTCTTTTATAAGCGATCTGGATGCGTATCATATACTTTGATAACGTGTTAACAGGGCAATATTTTGGTGTGTATCACTAATCTAATTTGCACCAAAATGTTTCAGTTTTCTCCCGTGTCATCCAATGGCAGGAATGTTGTGTTTTTATTCATTGTACGATTAAATCACTCTCCATATAACTGGAATAATCATCAACCCAGCTCGGTCTTTGTGCATAATCGTCATAATCACTTTTTGCTGCCACCACATGAAGTCAAGTGGTAACATCTCGACCAGATCTTCAGTCTTTTAAATGTGCGTGTCTGTCTGTCCAGGATTCTGTATGGGGTGGATCATCGTCGGTGTATCAGTCCAACCATACGAGCGTCCAGCAGCAACGCTTTGAGACCGTCACCTCAGGGAAGAAGAAAAAGAAGCAGAAGATGGTCCGCGCAGACCCCAGCCTTCTAGGTAAGGGCTAACACCAGTGTGCTAAATCTGAAAAACCTGCCGACGTGTCATTGCTAACTCACTTTTTTCTTGTTCAGGTTTTTCTGTGAATGCCTCATCTGAGAGACTGAATATGGGAGAGATTGAGACTTTGGAGGACTTTTAAGGGACTGCAGCCAAGCAAACCCCACTGACTGTATCCGTTTTGAACAGCAGCCGTTTTACCCGAACCCCCCCCTGACACCGCCCCCCCGACTGCTTCCACAAGATTCACCTTTTTAATTTCAGTTTCACATTTATCAGATGTACTCTGGTAATCCCTCTTTAAATTTCAGATTGTGAACCAACAGTGATCTCTGAGGCAGGGTGTGTTTTTCCTTTTTGCTTTCGGACCTATAATCTGATGAAATGGACTGGAGCAAAGTGGCCAGTGAAACATCCGACCAGCCCAGAGCAATCACCCAATGAACTTGAGTTTCTGGAAAAAGTCTGCTGGAGCATTGATGTCTGTTGGGCTTCAGCTAGTAGTTCCCGGATTATGTCCTAAAATTCAAAGTGACTTCAAATTTCTAATTTGGCCTCCATTTAATGGGATTTTTTTAAATGTGTGGATATCTGGGAAGGGTGGTTGGGGTATAATGGGAAAGGTTAGAGATTATATCCATTGTTTTTGTTTTATTTATTGAAAGTTTTGTCCCTTCACTTTAATCCCCCCCTTCTCTTTCCCCTCCCTGGTTTCTGCTGGGTGTTCATGGGTAATGACGGCAAAAGCAGAGCCCAAGGATTCGTGGCCACTAATGTCCTGTTTTAAGGACATATCAAAAGCTCCAAGTAGTTATCTATTTCTTGTAAAATACTAGGCTGTTTAAAGAATAAACTTTCAATTCTGCATCTGTATTATAATATATGAAAATGATCTGCTGGAGTCATACTTTTTTTTATTGTGGTATGAAACAATAAAACAGTCTTGTGTGTGGGCTGTTCACACCTCTGTCTGAGCTATTCGGAAAACATCACGCTTGTGCAGTATCATTCACGCGCACTCACTCGGTCACACTGACACATTTTAAAGAGCCGTAAAGGTATAGAGAAAATTAAAAGCTGTAAATAGAATAGTTTGAAGCCAGCTATCAGCATTCACAGTGGTAATGGACTAAAGATAATTTAAATCCCTCTAGAAATAATTTTAAATGAGTAATTATGTAACATGCGTTTTTCACAGTGAATTACTACATATATTCTGCTGACTGTTATTTCCATCTTTCAGTTATGTTTGTGTCAAACAGACCCAATGCAGAAGATTAACTGCCAAATCACAAGTCCCTTATTCTTTTAGACTAATTGCTCTCTAGCTGAAAGACACCCTTGACTTAATTCCTAGATCACAAGTTAAAGCTAGTACATTATTTAAAGTACCATTGTTAATGTACAGCATTGGGAATCTGTACCTCACTTTAATGGCAAATATTGTAATATATACTTCACTTCTTTTCTTATAACAGCTATAGTAATGTTCATGGGATGTATGCAGACCGTTTCTGTAGCCTGATCCCACACTGAAGACAGAAGTTATTTAAAATCCTACATTGTTTATTATCCGTCTCTTCTGAGCTCCCCAGCTTTTTAGAAATGCTATACTCATTTTGCAGGAGCACCCCTTTAAAATATTGTTGCATTAGCAGAGCAGTACAGAATACTTCAAACCTTGGAAACTTTCATAACTTTGACATTTAAATTCTGCGCAACTTTTTTCTTATTTGGTTATTCATTCTACTTAAATGTGGTTCTTTGCACAGGTGCAGATAAAGACTATGAATACGAGTTTTAGATTACAGTTGTGGCTGAGTAGGATTGTTTCTCACTTGTGTAAACCAACAATTTCAATTAACTCTAAAGCATAGTACAGTACAATAGTCAAAATCTATACAAAAAAATAGATGGTATCTTTAATGACATTCACAAAATGTTATTTCTTATATATTGTCCTTCAGTCCATATTTGTTGGCGTTAACCCTTTTAAAGGAAAATAAACACACGTTTCACTGCGCTCACCCTCTAGCTTGCCGCATGCACTGACAAGTTATGTTCATTTAAAAGTTCATTCCAAATACACACTTTAAAATGGCAATGACATCCAGTGTTTCCCACAGAATTTGATTCTATTTGTGGGGGCACCGCAATAAATCAATGTATGGGAAACACTGACATAAAGATCACGACAGACATTTAAAGCTTTATTTCAACATCTAAATATAAGCTTTCAATGTAAAAAAGAAAGTGACATTCGCTTCAACCCTATGCGTCAGTTACGCTAATCCAATAATATAATGCAGTCATTCTATATCTTGTTTTCTTTTGAAACTGCAGGTTTCTGCTACTAAAACCTATCGGATTTTGTTACTTTTAGATCTCAATACTTCCATCACTGCCATCTTTTCTTTGCTGAGACCTTTGTGATGTGACCTGGTCAAGGTCAGCGGTTGCCGAATGTTTACACCGAACATCCAGCTATGTAGCCGGAGGAGTGTGGAGTGGGTGGGCCCTGCGATGATGTGCTCACAAAGTCCACACTGTCCAGACAGTCCTGTGCACCTAGTCCCACCCCTTCTCTCACCCCTCAGTAGCCTACCTCTCCCCCTGCTGCGCTCTCCTGTACTCTTCTCTTGCTCCTCTTCCAGGGTCAGCCACTCTTTTGAAGTTCGAGGAGTTCTGGAGACGCACATCTTGTCCCTCGCAGCCACCATGATTCACAGCAGCAGTATCCGCAGATTTCTCCTCCTGGTGCTCCTCGGCCTCTTGGTGGCCTTTGTACACACAGGTAAACCACTTTTTGAGTCTGATTGATATGTGTATTTTATCTTTGTGGTTGGCTGACAGGTTTGCAGCCTTACCTGTGTGTGCTACAACTAATTATGGTAAAAGAAGAAACAAGAAGACCTGAGTCTGATTTATTGAAAGAAAAGAAAAAACGAACAAATACCACAACATCACATTTTATCAAAAAAAAATCCAAAACATTTTAGTATAAGATTCGATATTCTTAACCTCTATCGTTGTTTAGGGTGACTCATGGGCTGGGTTTGCGCCCCTGTAGGTATCAAATCAAAGATGTGTGTGTACGTGTCATTTTTGCCCTCTTTTTCCACAAACACACGTTCACAGGCCTGGATGTGTGTGTGCAGCCCGATGTAAATGATGCAGTTGTTGAGACTCTTTGAGACTCTGAGCTGTGAAAGCTGCTCTTTGACAAACAGGATGATTCAGATGCTTTCATGATCCCTGATGTTCATACAAACTAAAATACCTGCCGCCCTCTGACTCCAGATATGAGGTTGAAGTGGTTCTATGTAATATCCGCTCGAGGTAGTGAAACGTCAACATATGTGGAATGTATTTCATGTATGTAGAGATATTTGGGAGATAGTAGTAAGCAGATTCAATGTGTTCATCTCTTAACATTTATTCACATCGACTGGTTTTCTGCACAAGTGCTATTTAAAGAACACGTTCATATTTAAAGGAACATTTCCAATTTTCTAAATACATATTATTCCTGTGAGTCAACAAAATAATGACTACTAAATCCAAACACTAGTGATAAAACTAAAATATGTGATGTCACATTTGAGGATAGGGTCTAGATATTTTCCATATAAAATGGATTAGGAAATATGTTATAGATGACACAGAGCACCCAGGGGAATGTTCTGAGTTAATGGGGATTTTATTTCACAACTAAGAACAGTATCAATAAAAAAAGTTATCAGAAACAACAATTAAAAAATGTATCGTTGATGGAGCAGATCCAGACTGACATCACAAGTTTTATATTACTTCTCCCTGGCTTTGAGATAGAATAGCTAACATTCAGAAAAATAGATTTGACTCTACCCGCCCATGCAGAACCCGTGTTTCCCTTTAAGATTTGAGAGATCAGCCCTGTCACTGGTCTTTCACTTTCACTTACTGTATTTTTTTGTTCCTTTTTGCAACATCTCTCAAATATACTTGAAAAAAAGCGTACACTGTAGCAGGGCTCTCAGGCCCAAAGGTCACAGTAAAGGTTGAGAGGGCAAAGTCGAGCATGTCCACCCTGTCCTGTGAAAAAAAACATTACTGTCCCCTTTTACTGTCCCCTTGTGCCAAAAAGAAAGGCTTTGTGCCAAACACAATGTCAGCGTTTGAGGTGCCATGACCTGCCTTCACCTTTCTAAAAATATCTTGCATTCTCTGTTGGCTTTGTACAATTTAATGTGAAATTGTGTTTTTAATGTCTCACACTCTTTAAACACAGCCAAGCGAAATGTTTTTAAGGAGGACTGTGTTCTGCTTCACATGGAGTCTACACTCTGCAGCTGCTTCTTATCTGTCTGTTGTTGAAATGTAGAGTAGGCCTATGTGATGATTTCAACTAGAGCCAGCAATCTTGACCACATCGACAACCAATCCAGTGACTAAACCAGAATAACATCTGAGCATTGTACTATAATACAGAGAAGGGTTCATCACTAGTTTTGTAACCTAATTCTTCCTTATTTCACACATATTTTACAACGGAAAATCCCCTAAAAGTAAAAAAAAAGGTGAAGCAAGGACACATAAATCCATCGATGTCATGTTTGAGTTGCGTCATCCACGGTTTAAGTTGCTTGGCCAGGTTGTCTTTCACACACACCCGTCTGCGCGTTTTGTCATCTCTCCGGCTGGTGTGAAATCCTGACTGAAAAGGTCTACCAACAAATGGCCTTCTGTGTTTTCAGTGTCTGAAATCAACCTCCCTTACAGTCTGCCAGGCTTTTATGAGTCTGGACTTGCGTATAGAGGGTTCTTAGAGTCATCTTTAAAAGGTGTGACTCGAAAAGTGTGCAATGATTCCTAAGCAAAGGTAATCCTTACCGTATCCTGGGGGCTACCTGTGTAGTGGTGATCAACACAGTCTCACGGCATTTCGTGTTATAGTCACAAAATTAATCTATTGATTCGTGTTCACCAACACGATTTTGCCATTTTTTTCGTGTCACACAGAACGATTTTAAAAGCAATGTAAATAATAACAAATTAGAAGGAAAAAGACATTTAAAAAAATACAGATTTCAGTATTCTGACACAGAACGATTTTAGAAGCAATGTATTTATATTGGTAGTATGTTTCGTGCCTGCACCAAATAATAACAAATTAGAAGGAAAAAAAGATGACATAAAATACAGATTTCAGTATTCTGAGGTTCTGAGCCATTTATTTTCCTCACTGACGGCAAAAAAACTCAGACATTATACAATTTCAAATAAAAGGGATAGGGTTAGGGTTAGGGTAAGATATTGAGTAAGAACATGTTTTTATGAACCACACAGCTTCTGGTCTTCCAAGACCCGACCGGACAAAAAGACGTGTTGCAGGCACGAAACATACTACCAATAGAAATACATTGCTTTTAAAATCGTTCTGTGTGACACGAAAAAAAGGGGAAAATCGTGTTGGTGAACACGAATCAATAGATTAAATTAATTTCGTGACTAATAACACGAAATGCCGTGAGACTGGGTTGTGGTGATACATGAAAAAGTAACGAAAACGAAAAGCTAAATTGTGATATAATAAAAAAATATGTAAACTTACAGACAATTAAAATGCAAATCAGATTACACACTTTGTGGGAAACTAATCTTTAGTAAATATACAATTACTAAGCTGCCATACCTGTGTAAAAAATTAAGCAATGTGTTGCAGTAGAACAAAATAGTAGCTAAGCTAGCAAGAAAATAGTTACCTAAAAGTAACCGATACCCATTTTTCTAAAGGTACGGGATACAAATTTAGCAAAATAACTAATTTATCAATTGTAAGCTAGAAATAATGGGAAAAACAGTTAGCTAAAAACAATGAATTAACAGTTAGCAACTGTTGGCTGAAAGTGGTGGAAAATAGTTAGCTAAAAAGTAATGAATGAAGAAAACAGTTAGCTATAGATAAACAGTTAGCAACAGTTATCTAGAAGTGAGGGATAAACAGTTAGCAACAGTTAGCTAGAAATGAGGGATACACAGCTAGCAACAGTTAGCTAGAAGTGAGGGATAAACAGTTAGTAACAGTTAGCTAGAAGTGAGGGGTACACAGCTAGCAACAGTTAGCTAGAAGTGAGGGATAAACAGTTAGCAACAGGTAGCTAGAAGTGAAGAATACACAATTAGCAACAGGTAGCTTAAGTAAATGGATAAGGAGTAGGCCTACATTAAAAAAAGAAGAAGAATTAGTTAAACTTATTTATAATAAAATATAAACGTATTAGTAGCCTATTAAACCCATAGTGACACACAACTTGATGGATGATGAAAATGATGATGAAGGGGTAATTGATGATGAAGGTAGCTCAGCTGTGGGGTACATCAGCCAAAAACGTTTCCACTGACCGAGTAGCTAGTTGTCAGCTGACAAGAATTATGTTTTTTTTTCTTGAGGCCTCAGTTATATTAATTGCTTTAAACAGAAATTGCAAGCTTGAGTGAACTCCTTCGTGTGGAAACAAACAGCAACGGAAAACATCATGTTATTATTTTTGCCTTCCTATTAAATCAAGCTTTTCAGAGGGCACAGCCTTTTACACACAGGGGCTATTTAATAAACAAGTTTGTTTGACATCCAGTACCCAGCCGGTGCCGGTTTGGGCCTGGCCGGTTGTTACTGGTTGCAGCCCGCCGCCCTCCATGGCCGCACAAGCTGCCTTTTGTGCCCTCGGCTGAAGGCCTCATTGATGGCTGAGCTGGCCAGAGGCCCGGGCCTCCAAACCTCCAGCCAGCAACAGGACAGGAAGCTGCACACGACTCAGTCAACACAGCAGCATCAAAATACTCACATCAGAAGAGCATATCAGAATTATACCGCAGCTAACATGCTTATGTTTTAAACTTAAGAGATGTTATCATATGGACGTGAAATAAGATACTAAGACTCTCCTTTGACAATGGCAGAGGAAAAAGAAGAAGAACGATGTGAAGCAGGGTCAAGTTTACCAAGGGCGTCAGAGGCTACAAAGTAAATATGTTGTGTTGAATAAACTGAGTGTAAATATGTTTGGATTATGGTTTTGTTTATGTGTAGAGTTGAGGATAGGTTAAGAGAATCAGTGAGTGGGTGGGCTTGTGTGGGTTTTTTGTGGGGAGGTGAAGATGACATTTTCCCCTGTTCCTCTGGATTTCAAAAGAAAAGCTATACAGCTGTCAGTTACCATAAAGATGTCTACGACAATCGTTATTTTGGTGGTTTGTCAGCACTAAGTCGTGTTAGGAAACAGAAATGTGGCCCAGAAAGCAACCTTGTTTCTTTGGCTACTGCAGAGGTGTGAAAAGTCTCAGGGTAACTTCATGCTCAGATGGGAGGAATGTCAGAGGACAATTTGGGATGGAAAGAGAAGAGAGGATAATTGACACAGAAAGTTGTACACAAGCTGAGCCTCATGCACAAACAACAACGGCCTCTCCTGCTAAAGCAAAACATATCTACTACTCCGTTTAGATCATTACGGTTTAAGGATTTGTTTAGACAATAGACAAACTTTGTTGAAACCTTGAAATATTTTAAAAGGCAACCGTAGCTTAAACGGTCAAAATGTTCATCCTCTACAAAGACATCCTTATGCGTAAGCCACAGCCGTTAGCCCAGTGAGACAGAGAGAGGCTGTTGGGGTGATTACAGACGGGGCCATGTGTGCAGCCCTGCATCCCAGAGGCCTCCACATCCAGAAAATAGTCAAATAGAGTCATTAGCAAAGCTGTTTGCGTCGTCAGTGAAATTACTACCGCTAGAAAACATACAGTAAAATGATCTGCACACGGATTAAGTGACTGCTTGTAGATCAGCCATGCTTAAGATATGGTTGAGATATTGTTTGAATGGGGTATTATCAACAGTACATGGCAGTTAGCACTCCCTGAGTTTGGAAAAACAGACAGTAGTACCAGCATGGTTGCAAAGCATTGCACTGCTGTGAATAGGGACGTCATCAAAATATATTTTAGCCCATTGAAAAAATTGTCAGTTTACGTGAACGCTATATTTAAAATATTTTCACTGCTTTACATTGCTGTGAAAGTTTTTTCAAATGGTGAGATCAGCAATATCTGGTCAAAGCCACCAGACTCCTTCAACAAAAAAGATAATTTTAACTCAAAGAACAAAGGAGATGCTGGTAAACTGCTGCTTCAATTAGTTAGTTTTAGTTAGACAATCAATTCCCATTTTTGTGATGTAAAAATACTATTAGCAAAAGCATGGGAGCTTAAATACAATCTGCTGCTATCCCCGTCTACAGAAGTACACAAGCTCCCATGCCTTCTCTCTGTTTTTCCAAATTATGGTCATGATGGCCCCCATATACTGTTGGTACTGACCATGGATAATGACGTCATTAAATGCTATTTTAAAGAATCTAAACATCCCTTTTAAAACAAGCACAAGTGGAATTTAGTTTTCCTTTTGGTCTGCAGACACAGTTGCAGACTTATCAATCAGAGACACCCAGGACACCACGTCAGGAGAACCACCCAGTGACGTGACCACCAAAGATCCTAACCATGACACGACGGAGCAGTCCTTCACCCTCGACTACGAGGACAACACACACTCTCCGGACCTGCTCGATGAACAATGTAAAATCATCACTTTATACACCAAATTTCTTTCAATTATATGTAAACAAATGATTAAAACCATGTGTTTGTGTGTGCAGGGGTGCTGGGGCCAGGGGCCATCACAGCCATTGTTATAGCCGTCTTCTTAGGAGCTTCTGTCCTCCTCGCCCTCATCGTCATCACACTCAGAAAGTTCACCACCTCCTAGAGTGAAATATCCCCATCTTGTGTGCATGTGTTTATGTGTGTTTGTATGTTCTCTTTTCCCTCTCATCTCAGTCTCTCAACCCTTTTTTTGCAGATATGAGTTGTGTCTTTTGCTTCCCTGTAGATGCTATAAATTGTGGCAGGTCCCGTGACTGACTTACAGATGTCTTTCTATAAACACACTTTAAATGTTCCTCAACATGTCCACTTTTACTGCAGGTATAATGTTAGAAACTGGCTGGCTCTTCCAGTGGAAATCATAGCATGTCCATGTCATTCACTTTGTTTTTCCTCTTGATCTTGCATGCTCTAAAGGGGCTTTAATGTTGTGGGCTGTCTATTTGTACATTGAGTGTGTGTGTGCTTTCGTCAGTGTCTGTGTTGTACTTTTTTCCTTCAAAAATAAAGATACACATGAGGTTTGTTTAGTCTTAAACAATAATTATGCCAAAATCATGTCTTAAAAATGTCCCTTGGTGTCACCCTTATACAAGTTTGTATTGCACCATTTACAAACATTTGTAGAGTCCAAATAAGAAAACATTTAAGAAAGGCTTCTTCGGTGAATGTAAACAGGGTAGTTTGGTTGTTGGTGTGTGCCTGCAGTTAGAATGTGGATGAATTTGTGTTTGCACTCATGTGAGTGTTTGTAGGTTTTGTTTTTGTCATGATTTCAATTGCAGGGGTTTGGAAATTATTTTAGAAACCTTTTTATTTACGCCTAAGAGTCCTCAGCCATACAAATGGATAATGCAATGGTAATATCACTGCCAAATCATTTTGTGATATTTAAGTTAAATAAATAAATCAGATGCCAAACGTCCTTGACTATTGTGTTTGTTTGTTTTTTACACATAACCTCTAAATCAACACATTGAACTGTATAATATTTAGGTTTTTCCGCATTGAGAGTTCTTTGAAACAGGGTTTGATCTGCCTGTGCTAGTGATAAAAAATAAATGGATAAAAAATAAACACACAATCTTTTCACAAAAGATGACAAAGTGCCTGTGCAGCATTGTTTTTGTATTTGACATGCTCATAATCTCTTTATAGTTTACTTACAGAAGCCCCAGGCCTCAGTTCAGTCACTCACAACAGTAGGTGGCAGTATAGCTGCCAGCTTCATTTGCATTTACAGAAAAAAGGGTTTTGGCTTTCCAAAAAACGAAAGCTACTTCAAACTTACGTGTCCACTGTCTCTCTGATCTATTCCACTTCAAAAGCATTTATCTGTTAACTGCGTTTAAAGTTCAAACAGTCTTCCAAAAACATCATAATTAAAATGTTTTACCTCTAAATACAAGAGGAAACAACAATCTTCTGACACCTTGCATACACACCTCCACACTTGAAACCAGGAAACCCTCAAACATAATCACAAATCTGCTTCTGCAGAGACCTGAAACATTGAACACTATCAGTATTGGTATAAGACTGTGAGAACCAGCCTTTTCTACAGAAGAATACCAATACTGATCACAGTACCAGAATAGAAATCAAAGTATTCGAGTCATCTCTGTTGGGACTACTGCTAGATGTATACTTTGATGCAGAGATGGCAAACCATGTATAAAAAACAAACTAGTTTTTGACCTATAATCTATAAACTCAATGTATTCAAGGCAAGGCAAGGCACGTTTATTTATATAGCACCTTTCAACACAAGTCAATTCGAAGTGCTTTACAAAATGAAAGACATTAAGAAACATATTATAAAATGGCCTTTAAAAACACTCATTTAAAAGCAAAGATAATAAAACATGAATAACAAAAGGTACATGAATAAAAGTAACAGTAATCAAGAATATAAAGTCTACTGCACCAGGCCATCTCTTCATACGCGTTTCAACATTAAGAGACTGTGTGCATCACCATCCCAACACTAAGCTGAGTAACAAGTCACAAGATGCAGTGAACAACCACATCCAATATGACTTCATATTTGTACAGCGATGTGAATTCCAGTCAGAGGAAATACAATACCACAATCCCGACAGGTGGTAGACAGACATTATAGACACGTGATGTTATTTTTCATAATCTTTTAATACATTTTAGGGCATAACAATCAGCCTTGTCATTTGCAAATAATACATTTAGATACATTTGATATCATGTTTTAGGTTTGTGTTCTTTTTTACGTGTGCCTTTTTAGTCTTTCAGCTGATATCCAGTCACACCAGTAGATTTACAACTTTGGTCCAGGTTAATATTCATATTGAACCTTTCACAGTCATGATCCCAATAGGAGGAATCCTCTGACTTTTAAACTGGCTTCTACATTTAAATGTATTCAATACTTTTTGTTCATAAACAATGTTTGACATTCCCTTAAGCCTCAGCTGCACTTTGGTTTAGTGCTATTTAGCAAATGTCAGTATTCTAACATGTTGTATCTTTAAAAAGCATATAGAAGTGTGATTGCTGGACAGCTTCACCCCTGTCTTGATTCTAAGCAGGCTATAATGCACATCTAAACACACATTTTGCGTGGCATGCCTCAGGAAGTGGTGATGAAACAACAAAGGTAGAGAAAGCAGAAGTATGTCTAGCACAGAACAGACTGTCAGACTGACACTGAACATTACACCCAGACTGGCATCCGTGAGGTAAGAAAACATCAAGATTGAACTGTACAAGATAATAAGAAAGTGTTAGGTTGGTGTTGGAGTTAAATGTTGATAACAAAAACAAAGGTTTGTTGCACTATTAAAACAATATTTAAATTACAAGCCAGACCTAATTGTAAAACATTCAGAATTAGAAGGAATCAGTTGGAATAAGTATAAAGTAATCGAAAAATATTTGAGACTATTCATTTGTTTGGAACGTAATTTATCGAATATAATGTCACTTGTAATCATCCGTGACTTTAACTATACGGTAGCTTGGTGGAATTTTTTATTTTCCCTTGAGATACATGGCCGCAGAAATATGTTTTTGTTTCTTCTCTGGGAAACCATTTCTTACTTATCAGAGTAGTAATAATCTGGGTTTTTGTCCTCTGTCTGGAGTGATGGCTGCAGAGTAACTCTAAAATCACTTAACCTTCAAATGCTTAGAATAATGTTTATTAGTGTTTGACTACATACAGCTGCACTGAAAATATTTAACATCCATCAAGATCAAGCTATATAAATTAAAGTTTCATTTAAATTAAATATTATTCACCATTATAATTCAATTTATCCCTGACCTAATTCTAATTCTAGCTTACATTGCAAATATAGTGCATGTGATTGAAACTACTGTGTCTTTGGCTGTTATCTAGAAAGATAGATACAAAAACAACAGCTTCTGAAACTGAGAGGTTTCACAAGGCTTGGTGCAGTGGCACATCTATAAGTTTATGTGTGGGCACAATGACGGAAAAACAGATTCACTTTGAAATCAAATCAAACCATTTCCTCTGCAGCGGCAGCAGCAATAGCATGACAAGCAACTGCTCGTTCCAGGGGGTGGAAGACCTGATGAGATATCTGGAGCTGACCATCTACATTCCCATCTTCCTCGTTGGTCTGTTTCTCAACGTTGCAGCGCTTTTAGTGTTCTGCGTCTTCTTGCGGAAATGGACCGAGTCAACTATCCACATGACCAGCTTGGCTCTGATGGACCTGCTCCTCCTCTTCCCCCTTCCCTTCAAAATGCACGCCATCAACCACCTCTGGCGCGCTGACCTTCAACCTCTCTGCTCGGTTTTGGAAAGCCTGTATTTTGTTGGGATTTACGGCAGCATCTACACCATCATGTGTATAGCTGTGGACCGTTGGGTGGCTATCTGTCACCCTTACAAGGCCAAAGTATTGCGCTCACCCAAATTGGCTCTGGGGACTAGCGTGGGGGTCTGGGTGCTGGTGCTGGCAGCCCTCTCCCCCACCGTCTATCGCTTCAGGGAGGCCGGGCAGACGTCGGACTTCCACTGCTTCCACAGCTTTTCAACGAAAGGATGGAGCCCTCTGGTGATCATCTGCCTGCAGGTGTTTGGGTTCCTGTTGCCTGCCCTGGTGGTGGTTTACTGCTCGGTTAAGACCATCTGGGTGCTTCAGAAGTCGGGCAAGCACAGCCCCCAGAGCCGGGCCTGTGTGAAGATCATCTACAGCAGTCTAAGTGCCTTCCTGCTGCCCTTCACCCCCAGCCACCTCGGCATCCTACTGCAGTTCCTGGTAAGAGAAACTAGGAGCTGTATAAACTGAACTCAAAAGTGAAGCAGCTTTAAGAAGATAATAGATAAAAGTGAAAACAATCTCACCTCAAGTAGCTGTTCACGAACTCTCTATAAAAACACGTAATCTTCATCAGCAGATGGAGATTTTTTTTCTTATGCCACATAAGGACTTATTGTCTATGCTGGCGCAACAACTGAAAGAACACAAACTAAATTAATGACGCAAGATGACTTTGTGTGTCATTGTAGTCAGAGATCGCGTTTCCTCCTTTGTTTTTATAATGATCAGGATTTAAAAAATACTGCATTTTTTTTGTAAGTTTGCCTGGTCTGGTTAAAGATATAACAAACCAGTGGGCCTACGGTTATATTATTTGATCATTTTTAACACATATCATACGTAACTTTTTTTAATTTTAGTGTCAAACATGGCATCTGTGGCCATTTCACATCATCAAAAAAGACTAAATAAAGTCTGTATAAAGTCAAAAAATATCCTTGAGTAGAGACAAACCAATCACTGGCGTTGACCCGGCAGTCTGATGAAGAGATCATCTTCAAACAGACTGATAAGAAAATGTTACACCTCTAGTGTTTTTTAAAGATTCGATCATGTATTATACTTTATATTTTAAAGGCCCTTCTATGGACACGCATTAGAAAAACTGTATTTGACGTTATCAAATTAAAATTATGCTGAAACTATTATTTATTTTATTTATTTGTATTATCATACATTTTACCCCCTTGTCTCTATTAACCTGATAATATGTTATATTTTGCTGCATGTACCTTTACATTTCTTAACAAATAATCTGAGGGGAATTTCTTGTTGTTTGTTTTTAACTTGTGATGTGTCATTTTGTAAAGCACTTTGAGCTGCATGTTGTATGAAATGTGCTATATAAATAAAGCTGTATTATTATTATTATTAAAGCACAAATTCAATGAAGTCAGGATGGTTAACCAATATTTTTTTTTCTTTTTTGTGACACTTCCCATGATTCCAGGTACACCAAGGAATAATTCAAGACTGCGGCAACAAGACAAGGATCAGCCTGTTTTTACAGACAGCCATGTGTCTGTCCAACGTCACCTGCTGCCTGGACGCTCTATGCTACTACTTCATCGCTCATGAGGTGAGGAGCACCAAACACAGCTTCAGGAGATCAATGATCAATCAAAGAAGAGCCACCGTCAGCACTTCAGAGTTCTGACAGCAATTTAATTTAAATGTGAATATTAGTTGTCAGAGGACGGCTGGTGGTGAATAGGAAACCTGGCTTCATGAGTGATAGCCAAAAACAGGGGAGTGAAACTGAAAGAGAGCATGTATTGTTTTTAGTAGCTAAGTGTGTCATGCACGAGTAACAGGTCAAAATGCAATCTCAATTAGTGCTTGAGAGTAAGGGGGAAACGATGGGATGATACATTAGTTGGTCCAATGACAGGAAGCACAAAGACGCCCGTATAGCCTCAGAGAGCTCTGTGGGCGGCAAAAATATCCCCTTTCTTCTCAAATGATTTATTGGCGGGCTTGTCATCCATCCTGCACACTTAGAAACTGATGTGTGGTCTGATGGAAATATAAAGCTGTCAAACAGGGCACCAGCTGCTCACCGCACAGCTCTGCAGTCTATGAAGTCAAAAGGCGCTCTACTGCAGATACACCAATTTGGTTTAATGGTCAAAACAGTCAGTAAATGTGTTACTTCTTCAAACACATAACTAATTATAATAACAATCATCATGAGGCTTTATTTATCCCTCATATATGAAATGCGGAACAACCTAAAAGTCAACTTTATAATAAGGTCAATAATTAAAAAGGAAGATAGTGAATAAAAAAATGACTTACATATTGATTTCAAATATTCCCTTACCTGGTAAATGAATAAATCAACACAGCAACCAGTAGAGATCTGAAAACACACAAATGAAATTAATTATTATCAATTTTTTAAATATATTTTTTTATTATATTTTTATAAACTCAAACATTTTTGTTTACTATTTTAATAATTGTTTTTTTCTTAGTTTGGTCCCGTGAACATTGTGAATTTCATGAAAAATGACTTATAATCAAGTACCAAAATCTAACAGTGATTGATGAGACATCAAATATAGCATCACAATATTCACCCCATACATTGTGGATATTCTTACGTGGTTATTTTATTTTAAATGTATCCATCCTGTACATTATTATATAAATAATGCCTGATGCTTATTGACAATGAAGTGTTCTGCTTGAATGATTTTAAAATGTATCTGTACAGTGATTATACTTAACATATTTTCAATAACTGATCCGAATGAGGAAGTAAATTGAAAGGTCTGGTTGAACGTTTTGGGAAATCAAACTGACTGACAGGGTGAGTAATCAACTTCCTCGCAACAAATGCTATTACAAATAACAAATGTAATTTTATTTTGAGTTCTTTGTTGGAATTTTTTTACAATGTAGCTTTAAATGTGCAATATAATTGACATTGTTAAAAGTCCTGTGTGTACTAAGACTTTCAATAAGATTGTTTGATATTAATATGTTTAGTAGAGGATATTTGGTTTATGTAAATGTTGTCAAAGCTAAACTCAAATGTAAAGTTGCACATGCATTACCTGCCGTACGCTCTGTCTTATTTTGCTCATGTTATTGACTATAACCAGTCGGCCATGATTGTATTTACTTGCATTACTTGTGTCTCTATACTTTCATTTTGCACAAGCGTACTGTGTTAAGTTTCAATGTTATTTGTTTGAGCTCAGTAAAAATAAGTTGTTTTAATTTCAGTTTTCCTTTGGAGTTTTCTTTTGAAAGTGAAATTGTTTTTTCATAAAGCTCTTAAGATTTTTCATCAGTTTTTTTCTGTTTTCTGTGCAAATGGTCTACAAACTAGAGTCGGCTAACATAAAACAAAGATGATGTAAACATTTTACAGTAATACTTATCAGAACAAAGCCCTAAACATTGAAAAAGTTGATTTCTAGTATACGACACATGGACCACTAAAAAGAATCAGAGAAAATAAATGCTTTCTCATCAAAGTGACTGTTTTTGAAACCAAAGCTTCCTCTTTTAAAGAGAACTTAAGCGACCCACGGGAGTTTCATCTCGTGATGTGTGTGTCACATCATAACAACGACGCTGCAGCTATGTTGTATAGGAAAATCACAACCCATTATGTGTGCAGCTTTCTCAGATTAATGATGTGGAAGACACTTCACCCCAAATTGCTCCTGTGGGGATCGTCCACAGTATTGAGTATGTAAGTCGCTTTGGATAAAAGCGTCTAACAAGTGACATGTAATGTAATGTAATGTGGAAGATGTGTTAAACTTGAAATGAAAAAACTCGAAAGTCAAAATAAGTTTGATCATTTATTTTAAAGCAGCAAGATATCAGAAGTTATATTGACTGTACAATAAAGTAAGGTCATCTAGGACGATGAAATATGAACACAAATCACAGGTTTCTCTCAAAGGAGACTTTTCTGCTCCAGGTTGTACATTAAATAGACACCCCAAATCTTTTTATATCGGGACAAATTAACATTGTAGAGATTTGTTGTCACGATAGGAGTGTTTGGGGACTGGCAAAGCTAAAGACAACAGGCAAAATCCAAGTAAAGAGGAAGAGCGAGACAACATGAGTTAAGCCTTTGATATCATCTATTCTACAGTAAGTGATCTAACTAAAAAGCATTCTTCTTAAATATTTCTTATATCCTTAACACTAAGCATAGTGCAGACTTTGGTTCCTTCTGTCCTTCTAAAGCACTGCTACTGAATACAGTCTAGAGCCATTATATCCAAGGAGTAGGAAAGTGCGATACCAAAGGAAATGACAAGACAAACCATAAAGAAATAATTCACAAAACAAGTCGATTTTAGATAAAAATCTATGCATGTAACAATAGGTAATCCAGATGAAAATCAATTTACAGTTTATATTGCTTAGGAACAATTACCCTTATATACACACCATTCATTAATGATACGAACAAGCAAAGAAACGTCTTAACTACATGAGGTATATGCCATTTTCTGACATTCAAAACAAAAAAATAACAAATTAACATGAGTGCACTGTGTGAGCGCTTTCAAGCATCTTGACGGACGCCTAAAGTGCAATAGGTTAGAAAAAATAACAATAAGGACAAAACTAAATTTAAATTAAATAAAGTTTGCGGATGCAAGTGTAACTAACTGACACACTAACAGTGACATTGACAACAGATATATCCAAACACATTCATAACTTCATTCAAATAAACTGGCTGAATAAAAAAAGACATTTCACATGAACATGGAAGAGCATTTCCAACTTGAGACAAAAAGATTAAAAATATAACTCAAAGTAAAATTGTTGGACAAACACTTGCTCTTAAAGTGCAGTTAAAATCCTAAATAATTTAAGAGGTATGGTTTGAAATTGGCTTCAGAGTTGGGTGGCTGTGATTTCCGCTTCAGATTTAGAACCTGTCGCAGATGACGGTCTCAACCACAAAAGTGTTCTCGAAGTGACGGATGCGATGGCAGGTCTTTGTCTCGCGCCTGTCAATACCTGGAAGAGAAAAGAAGACACATTTAGAAAATCTGTTCAGTAGCAGAGGCTTGCTGGGTTTCCTATTTGTTCATTTTGAATAAACAGCGGTAATCCCCACATAAATATCCATATATGTACTCAGGGGAAGTTTAATGCATCACACCAATCAAAGGCGCCAACGACAGGAGATCAGAGAAGCGCATCACTACCTCCTCCGTAGTGTGTGGATGTGTCTACTGCACTAGCAGTGACTCACACAGCAGGAAGTTCCCAGGCTGGGCCCACACACACACACACTGACTATCAGGCTGCCAGGCTAGAGGAGGGTATTACACAGCAGACCCAATATCTGCGTGTTCACTAGGAAGCCCTTATTTGGCTCTGGTTACATTTTATTATATGCATGGTCACATGACTCAACTTCTCACAAACGGTGTGAAGTAGACTGATGATTGGCGGAAGTGATCCATTAACCACTATTTAGCATATCATATTGCCTGTTGAGCTGCAATGATTAATTGACTAAACAAATTCTGGATTAAAAGAGAATGTTGGTTATCTAATAAAAGATTTATGAAAGCGTCTTTGAGTTTCCTGAAAAGCGCTATACAAGTCTCATGTATTATTATTATTATTATTATTATTATTATTATGAATAGAATATTTAAGGTATTTTTCCAAGGAAGAAAAATGGGTTTTAGCCTCTCGATTTTATGCTATATCAAACTGAATATCTATGATGTCTATGATCACCTTTGACTTTGAAGAACAGGGATGGACATTTTCCACAATTTTCTGAAATTTTATAGGTCAATTGTGAATAATCTGAATAATCGTTAGTTTCAGTATTAACTGCTGAGTAGATTGGAAATGGAATTGGATGAGTGCACTTACGTCTGTGTGGGTTGCGGCGTCGGAGGCGGTAGGTTTCTTTGCCGTAGCAGAGTCTGTGGATGAAGGGGCCAAGCTGCCTCATGTTCCTCACCCTCCCTGTAACCATCATCTCCTCCTGGATGATGTATGTCTGAGGAAGGTATGTTCCTCTCTGTTTCAAAGAAAAACAAATGATTAATCTCTAGCAATGCTTTTACAACAGCTTCACCAGAGACAAGAGGTGAGGATGTAGTGGGCGCTCACCTTGACGTTGACCAGCAGCTCCCACAGGTTTCGTGGAGGCATCACTAAAGTTGTGTTCAGCTCGGTGATATAGCATTTGTCCAAAGCAATGTCATGATAAGCTGTGAGGCCCTGAAATCAATAGAACAAAAAGGTTACAATCCGAACGATAATGAATGAATAATGAGATACTTGAACAGGAAAATATAATGAGAGCAAACTAATGGATGCTTCAACCTACCCTGTGAAAGTCGTGGATGATATCGGCGGGGTCACTGCCTCCGAAGTGTGGCACAGGTACACTGATCTGCTCGTAGTTGTCGTCAAGATAGATGCCAACATTCTCCTCGATCTCTTGGCGGCCCCTCGTAGGAGCGAACACAGAGTCTTCGTAGACAACCCGGCAGTGGAACAGGCTGTCTTCTGGGATCTGCTAATGGGGCGCAACAGAGCTGAGTTAGAATCTGACAGTTACTTTACGTTTTTGTATTTTTGTTCATTAAACTTCTGTGCCACGGCGTTCAGGATATGAGGTAAGAAAGGGGAGGTAGAATGAACTGACCTGAGGTATAAAGTAGTAGCGATACACGTAGATAGAAGCCAGCATCAGTCCTGACATGAACACCACCAGGCCAAAGGTGAGGCAGCAGAGGCCAGTTGGAAAAGTCTTCCTCGGCCCAACGGGAAGTATAAGCTTCTCCTGTAAAAAGGAAAGAAAGGAGGTTGATTAGGAGGGCATGATATTTTAAAAAAAATGACACAAAGTATTGAAGTAACACAACATGTTTCACCAAAATATGTACAAAAGGATGCAACTGACATGTGGGGCTTTGCATTTGCATTGCAGTAATGGTGCAGCCAAGAAAAACATATATTTTATTAAAGCTACTATGTATGTTTGGACTATGGATGGAGTATCAGCGGAAGTGATGTCCCCCTCACACTGCCATGCTGTTCTGTACAAAGTCAAGTAAATTCTGACAGGAGGTGGTTGCTAAGTCGTCAGTGAGGAGAGGAGATCTGATAGACGTAGGACGGACATGAATGAGACATGCCAGATGCCCACCCACAGTCTCTCAGTCTCCACTGCTCTCCCTACTACTGTTGCTATGGAGAGCGGAAGCAGGGAGAACAGATTGCACAAGGCTCTGACGAAGATGCTCGCACGTGGCCGTCTGGAATTATTATTGGATGCCTACTTCCACGCTCCATATTTGTTAGTTCCCTAGCACCCACAGTGGGAGTCAAAGCGAGAAGACTTGCATTGAGGAGTCCCTCAGCAGAGGCGGACATATTAATAGATCTACACACATTGGCTCTGACGCCTAGCACACTGTCGCAGCCAATCAGAATCCACACAGCCTTTTAGATCATGTCTTATTCTTCTGTTGACGTAACAAACAGGTGAAAAAATGTGTTCGTAGAAGGGAAATTGGAATTCAGTGTTAGTACAGTGTGTACCGGGGGGGGGGGGCTAAGACAGCCAGATTGAATCCAATTTGAGAAAGATATTTTTATCATGATGAACTCCTGGGAGGTAGTCCAGAAAGGAGTCTATGAAAAGCTGGACTTATTTTGCAGATCATAAATATATAATTTAGGTTTAACATAAGGAAAAATTCCATATTCCCATCATGTGCACAATAAACTACTCTATTTATCTATCTATGTATCATTTTTAAAGATGTTTCATTCTGTTCACAAATAATGGTTACCTAAGCCCCATGTATGGAAACTAAGGACTTTCAGGGTGCATGTTCAGCTCCCTTCAAATTGACTCAAATCTATTGATTAACTCATCAAGATCCTTAATACCAGAATAGCCAAAAGGAAAACAACGAATTCTAACTCCTGACATTTAATGTTGAGAAGTCAATCATGAGCAATGTTTATTTCCAACACACATGATCTTTGGTTAGCATTCTCTATCACAGGTTAATGTCCTCTTAGGCGCAACCTGCTGGATTTACGTGGTAAAACACCTTGTGACGTCACTGACTGGTGCAGTGACCGCATCTAACAGCCCTGTTGTTTTCTTATTTCGACAAAAACCGGAGAAAACTGAGGCTGTGTGCAGTCCTGCTGCCTTTACTGAGTAATGAGAAGGCATTTATTTTGCATACTATTATTCACTTTCATTATTTACCCCTGCACGTATGAAACGTTTTGAGTAATGGTGTAATTTCCGCTGAAGGCACAATTACAGGACGGCCATCTGCAAACAAGATGACGTAATGTCAACATCCCCAGGCAGGGATGACCTGCCATTACAGGTTACTAACCCTGTGCCTGTGATGTAGGCCTAAAATGTTTTATATTCTGTCAGAAATATTTCCTATGCACCGTGTAGAGCAATATAATAAACTGCAGTACGTGTCGTGATGTTAAACTATTCGGTTGCATTCAAAACAAAACATCACTGCAATGTAATCACGTCAGCACAAAATGGCTTTTGTTTATATACGCATGTTTGCACTAAAGGATCATACCAGAATAAAAGCAAATCCCATAGAGTGACATGATGATGCATGAACAGACAATAATAATAAAGCTAATAACATACAGGTCAACGTTAAATTAGCACTAATGAAGTACTGGAAGACAAGAAAAATACCACAACACGAAACAATAGAAAAACAAAGTGTGCAAACTCACGTGAGCCTGAGGTATAATGATCTTGTCTCCATCGATCCCTTTGTCGGGCTTCTGCGCCGAAACCGTCTGGAAAGTGATCTTCACCATGTTTGTTTGTTAAAGAGTGTGTGTTCTTTATCTAGTGAGCTGATGATAGTGCGCTGGTTTCCTCCACCGAGCTGGGAAGATTATATAGCGGCAGACCAGTTTCGCCCCCGGGGCTCAGTGACCTCAGAAGAGCGTCTTCTCTGACGAACAAGCACTGTGTGGGTCTGAAGGAAAGCCGCCTCGCCGCTGTCACAATAAGAGTCCATGTCCGGTACCAATGTCCACATTTAACTCGGAATGCGCTGTTTAAGGTCTGTTTAGCAGGACAAATAAATACAATTAAACGCGTAAAGCTGTTTAGCATTAAAACAAACAATTGTATCGTTCGTATATTAATATAAGATGACAAAGTGCTCTTATTCTGAAGGCAAGTGCCCAATATGGTAGTGCTTTCCGTATTTTATTTAAAGCTGCATCTCCTGTTCTGTTCTCAACACTTCCATCCGGAAATGTAGGAATGTATCAAACTCTCAGCCAGCTATAAACAATTCAGTTCGCCCTAGGTCACTATAACTGATAATTATGATAATAATAAATGAGCATCAGCAAAGCATTTAATGCATATAGCATTTTACCATAAATTACAATGCAGGAACAATATGTGCCTTGACTTGAGTATTTCATTTATATTTTAATAGATATGTATATTTTATAGTACATTATTATATACTTTAAGTAATGTAAAGCAACATGATGAGCATTATGAGCATAAGTATAACCCTTTACCTTTAGTGTAGAATTAGTGTATTAGTGCTTTACATACAAGTTAAAACATATATTTAAAAAACTCTAAGCCTAAGTGAAATGTAATGAACACAACTTTGCAATGTCATAGTTAATCATATCATCAGATGTTAATATTGTTTTCTGCAACTTAAACCCTACACCCAGCAGCCAGGCTCAGCATTGTTGGATCTTTTAAGCTATGATAGTGGATCACGGCAGACCAAACGACATGTACTACTAACTAGAGACATCCACACGGCTATTGTGACTATATGTGGATACCCATGACACAGTGTCGATATGACTCACTGCATACATGAGTTTTAAATAGATGATACGACATAATAAGCTATACTTTGAAGGCTCTACCTACTAATTATACCAGGACATAAACATGTCACTAAATCATCCAAATACAAGGATTCTGTTTTTTTCAGCCAGCACTGTTTTAGGCTTTTGTTCATTTGCAGAGACTCAAGGCTCTTTACACTCTTTACACATATCTATGTACTTGACAAATGGCTCATATCATCCAATTCACATTAGTTGTTTCTTTAGGGAATGGAGCACTTGCCCAGTCCCCATAGGTGAACTGATGGCTCACAATCAAGCATTAAATAGGCTAAGCTGACTAATGATGCAATGTGAGAATGAGCAGATATATGGCCTATATATATTTAAAGGGGGTGCTTTGAATGTTGGTTTTAAAAGGTTAAGTGCCAGTAGATAAGTGCTACAAATAAATGCAGGTACCAAAAAAGATAATTTATTTGTATTCAAAGACATATGACACAAAAACATATATTGTACATGCCCTAACCTTTCTTTTTTTGGGTAAATTACGAAGTGTTGGGTTTTCTTAAAAGGAGTGTGAAATTCTGAAATAACCTACATATGAAGGACTGACTATATTATTGTTTTTTCTTTGATTGATAGCAGTCGTTTTCATGCATTCAAGATACATGCTCTATTATTTCCATAATTTAATTTGTTGTTTCTTATTTGTTTCAGCTGTGGATATAGATGTAAAGCTTTTTGTACTCCCTCTCTGGTTGAATTCATATATTTTAAATCTGTATGCAGATTTCAAAGGTGGAAGAAGTACTCATAACTTGTACTTAAGTAAAAGCAGGAATACCACAGTCTAGGAATACCACGAGTAAAAGTCCTGAATTTGAAATGTTACTCAAGTAAAAGTAGAAAAGTCTTAGCATCAAAATAAACGTAATGATCCGAAAGTAATCATTATGCAGCTTAGGCAATTTTCTAATAATATACATATGCTTTGATTAGGATTATTGATGCATTAAAATGTTTATCAAAGATGGTAAACGTGGAGCTAATTGTAATTACTTTGTATATACTGCAGGATAGCTTGTGGATTTACTCCAGGTGTAACTCAATTATTTATTTAAGTGTTTATTATATTTCACATCATTAATCACAAACTGCTAAATAACTTGAGTAAATGTTCGTAGTTACTTTTTACACCACTGGTAGATTTAGACTAATATCGGGGACAAAAGCCAACATGACTACTGGTGATTGGCGGACATGAGCATTGCGCGCTCTTGATGTGTCTTGCTCTCCTAGGCAGTTCCCCCATTCATATGTAAATGAGCCGTCATATATACCTAGCACAAGCCCCCACGGAGCAGCATTTAGGAGCCCAGTCCCTCTGCAAGCTTTGTTGGCTGCTGGGATCGCCCGGCCATCTGTCCCGTTAACGAGCTGTAACGGCTCTCTGGATTACTCACCGACCTCCAGAGGGTTTCTGGCAGCGCCTGGGTTAAACTTTAACAACATGGCCCCCAACCGTAACAACACAAACGACACGGACCGAGGTGATAACTGCACTGGAATCAAATCGGAAAGAAAGGTAAGAGCCGGAGTGAAGATTTGATAACAATATCTGTCTTAACTTGGCTGGTAACTGACAAAGTACGTTAACTCCATTGTCTGTACTGTTTTTGGCAGATGAGGAAACCTCTGGTGGAGAAGAAAAGGAGGGCTCGCATCAATGAAAGTTTACAAGAACTCAGAGTCCTCATGGCGGATTCAGACGTAAGAAACTATGCATATATTTTCAGGCCTGTTATTTGTGTGACGCTAGTGTTTTTCGTCATACAAGTGTGACTTGGTTTAGCTAGCTTGGGTAGCCAGCGCTTGTAACTTACGTTTTGTTTTGTGTCACTCGTTGCAGTTACAATCAAAGATGGAGAATGCCGAAGTGCTGGAGATGACAGTGAAACGGGTGGAGAGCGTCCTCCAAAACCAGGCCCAAGGTAAACATTGTTCAATTTTATGTGTAGGCCCATTTAGGAGTAAAGTACGCCATTAAGCAACAGTTCGTGATATATATTACTTAACAAAAAAGTATTACGTTAAATTAGCATATTGCAGTCACGTCCTACCCTTGGAGAACAAACTAATTCTTGCAAATCGGATCCACGAATTAATTTATAACGTTTAGCGCATTAATATTTTTTGATTAACTGTGATGCGGCCACAGGTGCGCATCTTCAACCGCTGCTCAGCCAATCACAACAGAGAGTTTTGTTTGTTGGCGGTTTGTTTGGCTAACTTCCTGGCTCACGGTTGTTTTGTCTCATCTTTCCGTAGAAGTGGACGCCGTGAACCGGGAGGCTTGTGAGCGGTTCGCCGCAGGCTACATCCAGTGTATGCACGACGTGCACACTTTTGTGTCCAGCTGCCCAGGGATTGATCCAACAGTAGCCGCAGAGCTGTTGAACCACCTCCTGGAGAGCATGCCCCTGAACGACGAGGACCGCCTCCGCGTGATGCTGCCGGACACGATGTCAGAGAGTCCCGGCAGTAACAGCAGCACTTGGTCCCTGTCTGAGAGCATGTACTCGGCCCTGGTGTCCCCGGCCCCCTCGACCACCTCCTCTGATGACCTCTGCTCCGACCTGGATGAGACCACAGACTCGGAGCAGAGTCATGTTTCTTCAGAGGAGGAGGCTGACAGCCAGGATGTGTTGAGCTTGCCTGTCATTTGTTACTCCAAGTCAATGTGGAGGCCATGGTAGATCAGTAAAAAAGGAATAGCATGTTTTGCAACACTAGATGGTTTTTTGGTAGGATGTTTTGTGTGGTAGAACTCAGTAAAACCCTGCTGAGATGACAACTTTGAAACTTGTTGAGAGGCATCTAAGAAGCTCTTCATTATTGCGGGATTACAATTAAACTAAATTGTATTTAACGAATAAAGTATGTAATTAAGTCTGTTTTGCAGAGGTCAGAGACTTGTAGGGTCTTCATTTGGAAGTGTATTGGCCTTGTTGGGCCTGCCTTCAGTGAAGGGGTAAATGCATATGTAAATATTTACATGTTGAATATGAATCGGCTGTATAGAAGATGGCTTTCCCACTAAAAATGCTTTGTTAGTTGTGTGTAAATTATTTTGTATTTAGCGTGTCTTTTTAACTTTGTATTTATAAATGTCCAATGACTTTTAGTAGGCTACCTCATCTGATTGCCTAAGTTTCAACTTTTCAATAAATATCTTTTTGACAACTTCCTCTTTTGTGTTGCTTCTTCTAGAAAAATGCCACGTTTTACACTCGAGGATCCCACAATCCACCCACCCACGGCTGTTTGCAAGATATTGGTTATTACTCTGCAATTGTGTGCCATGTGTGCATGTGCACTCCTCTTTCTCTCTTTCCTGCTCTCTCTCTGATCCCTCAGCACATCGTAGGCATTTGTGAGGTGTGAAATGAGTAATCGGCTCACTCCTTATATAGGCCTAGTTGAGGAGTTGACAAATGGGTTTTATAACTTCTCTGTCTTCAGCTTTTTTGATGTTACAGTTTTAAAATAACATTGTAACAAATAACTTGCTCAATCATGGAAATAGTCTGTACTTTAAAGGCCACTGACATTATCAGCTTACCATGAAATATGCATGCACTATATATGGTGCTTTCATAAAGGGAATACAACTGTGATCCACTGCCAAATAAATCAGTATACTTGTAAAGATACAATAACTGATATATATACATATTAATACTTTGCATGCCACCCCGTACTAAGAGCCCTTTGCCTATTCACACACACTTGTGTCTGCACCCTCAGATGTGACCTCTGTGTTCCTGAGAGTCACAGACACTGTTCTCCCTCCGCTCTGTCAGCTGCTACTACAAATGAATACGAATAGATTGGAACTCTTAATCCATTTCTAGTCAGATGGTGTTCCTGTGATGTCCAAGTGTCAGTTCTTACACTTCCTGACCCATACTGAGAGGGATCTTTGGTGAAATGACAAGAAACAGATTAATACAGAGAGTGTTGAGGGATTAAAGTAGAGCATTTTTCCTACTTAGCATTACATATATCCAGTATTGTAAAGTGAATACTCAAGTGCTGTATCGCCAGTACATTTACCTGACACAGTTATCAGTTACTTTGCAGATTGTTAAAACAAAACAAAAAAAAGTAGTTGTAATATATTACATTGCAAAAGTATAAATTAGGTTGAATAAGCTCTACCATGACCAGCTGCAATACATGAGCAGTGGCAGGATGCAGAGGTGAGAGAATCACTCAGATTTTATACTGAGTAAAAGTAGAAGTACCAGAGTGTAGGAATACAAAAAAGTCCTTGATTCATAATGTTACTCAAGTAAAAGTACACAAGTATTGGCATCAAAATATACTTTACCAACAGTAAAACTCATTCTGCAGATTGGTCCATTTCACAATAATATATATTATATGTTTTGATGCATTAAAGTGTTATCAAAGCTGGTAAAGGTGCAGCTAGTTTGAATGGCTTTGTATACGGCAGGGGAGCTTGTGAATTTACTCCAGGTTTAACTAAAGTCTTATTTAAGTGTTGATTATATTTAACATCATTAATCCAAATCTGTAAAGTAACTATGGAATTAAATAAATGTAGTACAGTACAAGTACATCATTTACCTCTGAATTGTAGTGGGGTATAGGCCTAGAAGTAGCCTACAAAGTAGCATAACATGGAAATAATCAAGTAAAGTACAAGTATCTCAAAATTGTACTTGAGTAAAAACTACTTAGTTACTTCACACCACTGGTAGAATGTCACTATTTAATCAAAAACTAGATCACTCTTGTAAAAGAGTAGCCTATACTTTGCAATTTTACTTCAACATATTTCAGAGGTTATAGCCTACTGCATTTATTTGTTAAACTAGTTAAAAGTTACTTTGGCAATCAAGACTTTTGTATCATGAATAAATTATAATCTAAACGCATAATAATGGGATATTATTACTTCTTAAACAACATCTGAAAGATCTGCAGATTTGTCACAAGCTGACAGGATGACGAGCTTGGTGCCATCGGGACCAAACCGGATTTGCGGATCTCCAGAGGTGCAAATGACCGCTGCAGGAGGGCAGCTTGTTAATTCAGTTCAGGTGTGAACAGTTGAGGGGGGGGTCCTTTGATCCGGCCTGCTGAGCCGTGGACTGTCTGCAGAGAGCACATCCAGGCTTTCGTGAGTGTCGACCCACAGACATTTGCATTGGGAAGGTGAATGTCACGACTTCAGGATGGAGAACAACACAAGCTTACGTTTTGTTTTAAACATAGTTATAATGTAAAAACGTACTGCCCTAGTTGCTATAATGGTCCCTTTTTCAACATATTAAGGTTTATTTTCATCCAGTCATTTCTAAATCAGTCTTTATTTGTAAAGCATTGCTCTGCAAACAGCCAATCGTTTTCTAAGTCGTTTATACTAGTCAATTGGTGATCGACCCATTAACAGCTTAGAGAACAACCATTCCTAAATGAGTTTCGTATTTGTCTTATTTAAGCTAATATGTGCTGCTCGTCGATGACACGTCTGTAATAGCCTTTAGGCAAGAAAGAAGCAGACATTTTAACACATTAGACGTCACAGTCAATTTGGCAAGGTTTTATTTAGAGAACAAATATAACAGAACATTCGCCACTTAAAAAAGGGGGAAATAAAAAGGTGCATGTTGTCAGTGTCTGTTCAAATAACAGAAAGACAAATGACAAATTCAGGAACATGTTCAATTTGCCATAAAGAGCTTCAAAGTGAAGGAAATCTCTCCACATTCACTTGACATCTGTGTGAGTTGCTTTATACCCGTGCAATAACCCTAAACTTCCACTTCTGAGGTGACCACACAAAACGGTAATGAGCTTCAGACACTTCCACAGGATGATCAGGAGGCTCTTTTCCATATTTATGAGGAGTAACAGCAGACCATGATAAGTGTGATCTGACACACTTTGAAAACTGGGGGAAATTATTTTTTTCCCCAATTTATATTTATCACCCACCATAAACAACATAGTATTTTCCAGTCCACGGTTGGCTTTATCCTAATGGTTATTTCACAACTCACATTTGAAACAAATGTATACTTAATATTAATGGTTCTTTTAAGATGAATGCAAAATACACATTTGTTTCAAATATAAACAATTGACCTGTGAAAAAATATAAATATATGCTCAGAGTCAAAGACTGTTACACTCACACAAGCTTTGAAATGCATTAAATTAAAGTTTCTTTAAATAAGAGGCACTTTTCACAGCTGATACTGACAAAAAGGCTGAATGGAAATATGTATAAACAATGAAAGCTTAAAGCTTCATAAGGTTACAAGTGACACAAATCTCCCTTTGAATGATACATTCTCATAAACATTATAACATGGACTGGTGAATAAATATAGCTTTATTTTAGGTTTTTCACCCGTTCCCCCTACATTTCACTGGCGATCAGTAACACATTAACGTTTCCATTTTATGATACGTTATAGTATTACATCACTTAAGTTCAATATATAATATTGTAAGTTTAGTATTGCCTTGTATGGGAGTACGTTTTCAGGGGATGGAGTTGGTGAAAAGCTTCAGATGGTGAGTCCATGCCTGCTGCATTCGGGAGCAAGTTTATATTTTGGACATTAATTTGCTATTAGTGACTAAACACAACACCTTTCATCTTTTCATCCATGTGTAGCTCACAAAGTGCAGTTGTGGGTTCATTTAGTGCTTGATGGCTATGCATGCCTGAACAGGAGTGCCTGAAATGTTACTCCGCCTGTTTTAACACATGCTGACTCAGCGTGCTGTTGTTGTAACTGTCACAAAAAGCTGAATCAACTCTTTTACCGCAGCAGTTTGAACACCAAAGAGCCACTTCCTGCCATGTGAGTGACGCAGCCTCTGGTCTGTCGGTGTGTGTTTGACCTGTACTGTGCTGCCTGGTGCATAAGCACACATTGTGTTTCACCTATGACCTATCAGTGCAGAGGCTGCACTATATTAAGCACTAAACGGAATGAGTGAATGATCATATGCAGTCACAGAATCCAGCACTCGTATATTTACATTCAACACAAGTTTTAACATAAGACAGTAATGAATGTTGTGAGAAGAGCAAAGGGCCTGGCGCGTTTCCACTACACGGCCTCGCTCGGTATGGCTAGGCCTCGTTAGGACTGGCTCACTTTATGGCGCATTTCCATTACAGTTTAGGAACTGGGGTAGTATCTATAGTAACGCAGTGTAGGCGGAGCCGTGACGTCATCTTCAATGAGAACCCCAGAAAAACAACACAGCCGTTAGCCGTTAGCTGTTAGCACTCAGAGCTCACAGCTCCTCATATATGTTCAGAAACTAGACAAAAGTTAAACAAGTACAAACCACAGACTGCCTGTGTCATGGCGAATACAGTCGCTGCTTTATTTATGTCTGTATAGGCCGTTGTTGTGAGTGTGGACGGTCGGAGCATATACTGCGTTAGCTTAGCCAATCTCCATTTAGAAAACACGCATTTTAAAAGGTTTTTCGCCTGCCGTCTGTCTGCAGACTTGTCAAAGCATTAATTCATGGTTTTTACTAACCGGTATCAGTATGTTGTTACTTCGGCATCATTTTGAAACGTGTATTACAATTAAATCACGGTCAAATATGTCCATCTTGTTGTAGTTGTAGCCCCCTTGCCAGCGATTCTCTCTCTAGTTTAGCATACTCAGCCCGACTCAGCCTCGTTGTCTCTGGCTCTAGACCCACAATTTTATGAGGCCAGAAAAACTGTGAATTAGGACCCGCCGGCCGGTACTAGGCCAAGTGGAAACGCAACCAAAGACGGGCCGCTGACGTCACAGCCCTCTTAAACCGTGCTCCGCGCTGTAGTGGAAACGCGCCAAAATGCTTCACGCAAAGAAGGCCACTTTTCACAGTTGTGCAGAAACAGAGTCTGACGGGTAATAGGGGACACTTTGAAGATCTTGATGTGTTTGTTGTCTAGCTGGTTGTCTCTGAGAGAGAGAGTTGGAGGGTTCCTCTCTGGGCCTCCGCTGGCAGCCCTCCTCCAGCGCCTCCGTTTCACCGAGGTCAAGGTTTGCCTGTTCCTCCTCCACCGCTGCTGCCACTGCTGCTGCCTCCGAGGCACCGTTACAGCAGGAGCACGCCTGGGCAGCACAGATAAAAGGAGAAGGTGAGAGGTGATGTAGAAAAAAAGTGCATATCTGAGAAACAATGAGAAAGGGGTGGGGTACAATTTTGATGTTTTTCCAAGAAACATCTCCAACCAAAACAAATATACAAACTATTTATATTTTTCATTATTTATTTGTTTGGTTTGTAAAGTGTAAATATAAATCGGGACTGTGTGTGTCCCAGTTTCACAAAGTGACGTCTTTAAATGTCTTGTGTTGTCATTCCAAAACCCAACGATATTCATTAAAAGAAGACTAGAAAGAAAAGCAGGAACTCATTTCTTGCATGAAAAATAACTGATTATCAAAGAGTTGGCAATTTTGTATTGTCACTGTCAAGAATCATAAATATAAAAAAGGTAGGTTAACCAACATCTTGCCAAAACCCCATATTTTCCACATGTTCCTTTTTAGAGCTGGACTATATAAAATGAATTCTACCTTGATGTCTATCTCCTTTGGCAGACCTCCTCTCTTAATCCAGGTGTGCACCTCCATCAGCTCCTTCTTCTGCTCCTCTGAAAAGCTCGGCTGGCTCTTCTGCAGCAGCCTCAGCTTCTCTCTGTCGTCTCTGAGCACTCTCTGGATGTCACTGCAGATAAAGAGGAATACAGAAACAGCCACATTTAAAAATCTACCCAACAGTAAAACAAGAACGTTTAGTTTTTTGCAAACTATCAAAGTATTTGTCACTAAAGCCTTTTATAGACATGTACAAAGGAGTTAACAGTCTTAGTCGATGCAAAGCCCTCTGTCAAGGGGGCCCTCTAGTGGTCAGTAACTGTCCCTGCAACAACCACTGCAGTTTGATCTTTTTAGTCAAGAAACAAATAGTATGCAGGAGTATTCAATGGTCTTGTGACCTATTGAGTTAAAGGTGCATATTGAGAAATAAAAATGACGGATGTTTAGTGTGAAGAACAAACCCCCAATAAGCTCTTTTGTCCTGTGACAATCAGAGCACAGAAATATGTTGCCAGAACTTGTGAGGATAGGAAGCTAAATCAAGATTGTTTTGTTTTATTGTCTCACAAACACATCCTCTATTGCCCATAAACAGGAAACTTGTCTATCAATGAGCAAAAGAGGAGAGTTTGTCTGTATACATGCTTAGCGTTATCCTTCATTAACAAACGATGAAACACAGCAATTCCAGCAGTACTTACGTGATGAAATGTTCACTCTGGTCCATCTCCAAAGGCCTGCTGCCGCTGCCATTCAGGTGACCTTTGACTTTCTGACTGATCTGGGACGAGTCCACGCTGCCAAAGTAGTTACTACTGTTGTTGCTTCCTGAAAACACCAAAAGAGAAAACTATTAAAACGTTGCAACATTTGCTGATTCTGTTTCACTGTAGTGTTTTCTACTTTTTCCTGCTTATTTATCTTTGGGAATGTGTAATGTTGTTTTCATTATCAATATCTATAAGGTGAAGCTTAAGGTCATACCTTTTCCACTGCCAGACGTCCCACTGGCTGACGTCCTGCTCTTTGATGTCCCGCTGTTTGATGTCCTACTGTTAGACGTCCTGCTATTGGAGGTCCCACTGGCTGAAGTACCACAGCCATTCAATCCGGAGCCCATGGAGCCCGAGTCGGCAGAGCTGGAGTCCTCATGGAGAATAATGTCCAACATGTCGCTGGAGAAAGAGTTGCCGTCACTGTTGTTCCCATCGCCACGTGAACTTGTCTGCAAAAGAAAAACATTGAAGGGACGTTATTGAGGAGGAGCTTGATTTCCCAGCTTTGGCCAGCAGACTCCTTCATCTCCTGCAGCGTTTCTATACAGGCAGGTGCAGTTAGAGGCTTTCCTCTCACTTTGCATTTATAATCTCAAATGGGAGTATTTATTTGCCGTGAGCATAGAAAACTGTCAATCTCAACAGTCACATGGGACACAATACCATGTGTTACACAGTAAGGCTGAGCTTGTTAGAACCAAACAGAGACTCTGATCCTTAAGCAGCTGATTTAAAGCTGGGAGAATTATTAAATAACAGAATGTAGTAGAAAAAAAAAAGAATACATTCATGTGGAAGATTACCATTTGTGACACCGGTCTGATTTTAGAAATATATAAGAAGGAAAACAAATATTTATATTTGTATGTTCAAACTGCTTTTGACTGTTAATGTTGTATGGTTTCAACCTTGGTCTGGTTCTTGCATGCAGAATCAAAGACAGTGTATGTAGTTGCAGTCATACATACAGTACTAGGTACCAAAGTAAGTTTCAGGATTTTTTTTTAATAAACTATCTAACATTTTTGTTTTTTTACATTGTTAGATTGTTTCTTAGTCACATGCTTTGGTTAGAATCTGCCATTCTAACTAAAGCCACTCTTGGCAATATCTTTATAGAACATTTCAAAATTATAAATGCTAATAATTAAACCATAAATAGGAAAAAAATAGTTACAGTTATAGTTTACATATGGATTTTGGAAGGAATGGGATAGGAGTTAGTTTTGATGATTTGCCTACCTCTTTGCTGCAAGACCTTCTAGAGCACACTTTATCCCAAGACAAACGATCACAGACACAGTGCGAGCCCTCGCAATACAAGGGTCCAGGTGGACCAAGGAGACTGAGAGAAGGCTAAGGGTGTAAGGGATAATAAGATGATTCGTTAACACCCGAGGCCACATTTCATCTGAGGAGTCGAGATTGACTTGACTTAATACAATACAAACACAAGAAACTGCTCTTTAATACTGTGAAAAATGTGGAGGAATTACTGTGTACTCTACATGGCATAACATTGTAGAAAAGTGAGTGACATATGAATGAATGTCTTAGGGGAACATGCCTACACGCCTACACAAGAGTGATTTAAAGAACCCACAACGATTAAGTTTAAGGAGGCTTTGACATTTTATCCTCACAGTTTAAGAATTTTACTGGGGAGAAATCATAGGCATCAGGAGACTTGAAGAAGAAAAGAAAGGGAAGGGAAAATAAAAGTTGGTTTTGTTGTTTACCTGCTTCATCTCCCTCTCTTTGGCCTGGTTTCCACAGGCTCCCATCTTCCGTTCTGCCATATTATTCCCTTGCCCTCCAGAGGAGAGCGCTGTGCAGTCCTGCCGGTCCACACACAGCTCCAGCTCCAGCAGGTTGAGGGGTGAGCTGCAGCGAGACTGAAACAGGGGTGGAGACGCCGGGCCTCCACCTCCTCCAGACTGCGGCGTGGAGGAGCGAGACTGGCTCTCAACCACGGACGCCTTTGAGTTTCCGGGACTGGAGGAAAGTAGAACACAGAGGGGATGTAGTTCGATTGGAGAGCAAAGTGGTTTGGGGAGTTGAACTGGCTCTGGACAGTGAAGGACGGTGAAGCTGCGAAGTGGACCGGGACTGGAAAGGCAACCGGACTAAAAGGCTGCATTTGGGTGGGGAAGCCAGCAGTGGCTGCGTGGAACACTGGCTGTGGAGATTGCAGTGAGGGGGCCAATGGAGAGAAGGGCATGGGCAGCATTAGAGCCACAATAGGAGTGACCATAGGGGTGGTGAAGGGAGCAGGGTGGATGGGCTGTGGGCAGGGAGGGGGCTGGGTGCCCTGATTGTACACAAAGCCTTGATGAGTGGCATCTGTGCGGGGGGCCATGGAATTGGCTCTGGGGTAAACCGGGAGGGGGTAGCCTGGCATCACTGAGGGGTAGGCCATGGGGAAGTTTGACTGCGAGGTGTCAGAGCTCGACCAGGAGGTCAGGTTGAGGCCGTGGGTCAGGAGAGGGGGCCGCAGGTGTTGCTGTCTGTGGTGGGACACGGTGCTGTCGGAGGACTCCATCTGCTTCGCCCGCTTTGACTTGGTCTTCTTGTTCCGTGTGCCTCGCCGAGCGGTGGGCTCTGCACTCGGTTCATCCTGCTTGGAGGACTGAGCAGTGGGTATAGCTACAGAGAATACAAATAAGAAAATGTTGAGTCATCTTTTGAATTTTACAAAATAAACAAGACTTGCAAGTAATAGGCAAGGAGATTACACATTCAGAAACTTGGGTCTTACTTTTTACCACAATTGTCAGATTGTATAATAATACTGTAATGAACACATTTACGGAGATCTAAGAATATATAATGATTATAATCAAGAGTCCAACTTAGTCTATTTAAAGTGGACCTATCATGCTATATTTGAATAATATAGTATAGGACCATACCTATATAAGGCATATTTATACTTTTTTTTTTTCAAAATACCAAACAGATCATGCATTTTAGCCATGCCTCATTTTGCTCAATTTGACATTTTTTAGCTCTGTTTTTGCAAGGGCAGATTCTGTGAGAACAGCACCATCTAGAGGCCTGGCATATGTACTACAGCGTCTCCAGCGCTTTCGAACGGCAATGGCCGTGGCTGTCTCCTCCTGATTGGTGGAGTTGGAGTTGGTGGAGTTGGCCCATTTGAACACTGTCCTGACGTCAGGACAGTGTTCAAATCTGGATCAGTTTTTATCAGATCCGTTGCAGCCCCTTTTTTAGAGATTTGGGTATGGAGGAAAATAGAGAGGGTTGTGTTTTCTGACACTTGGTGAGTTCCCTGGAACACCGGGGACACATATTCATGTATACAAGACGTACAAAAGTGCATTTTGCATTATAGGTCCCCTTTAACTTCAAATATTGTTATAACAGAATTTAACAGAGTTATTATCCTTTAAAGGCTTTTGATATGCTGTGTTGGTGTGGTGGTCAGGTACCATAACTGGCGATCTGTTCCCTCTGACGCTCCAGGTACTGAGAGCAGTTTTCTTTAAGCGCTGCAAGTCCTCGATGCTCCTTGAAGCGATACAGAAAGGTCTGCTCCTCCTTCTGCGTATGGGCTGCCAAAACCTGCTTAGTCAACCCGAGTTTCTTATAGGACTCCCTCTCGTGACTGGGAGGTGAAACGACACAGAGAGGAACCCCGGGGCTATGGCTGGATTCCCCTATGATATCTGTATGTCAGAGGGTGACAGCATAGAAATACATTTAGTATACTCATAGGCAATAAAAAATGACTTCTGTAAAACAACATTTAGCATAGATAGCGACGACGACAAAAGCAGAGTTGAACGAGCGTTGTAGAAGCTTCAATCGACACATTCACGGACACCATGGAAAAAATGCCTTAAAAATACAAATGGAGAAAAATGGGAAGCCGCTTTCAGGGCTACTGATGTTATTCACATACTTCCATCATGGGGTCGATCAATTAGCCTTGAGTTTGGCTCACTTACTTGATCAAGGATTACCACAATGCTTATTGAAAGAAATGTTTTATATTCGTATCAAATGTACAACAAATAGTACAAATTTGTTTGCTTTTCATCATCGCTGAAGATTTTAAATAATCCGATGACGTTCAAAGTTGTGGAAAAATGAAACGTTATGTATTCTAAGGTGGTGAGTTTATATGCGCTTTCAAAGTGGCAACTGAATGAGCAGCGTCCAATACAATTGCTGGTTTAATGCAATGAAGCTCACATTAGATTATAATTTATCGCAAATTAATAGTTTTATATAAAATCCAAAAGATAAAAACTATTTTATCACCACCATTGCAGTAATTTTGGACGGGACCCAATAACCCTGCAAACGTTTTGCGCACATTGAGTAGCACCAAATAAGAATTATGAAATTGTGGAAATAGTTGACTTTCTGTGTTTGACATATAAGCTGCCAAGCATCCACTGAACAGACACACATGTAAAGACACGGAGAAAGAAGCACGAACACATACAGTTGAATTTACAGTGCTGTGAAAAGCAGCTTTGCTGATTTCTTCTGTGTCTTTATATTTATCACTCGGAGAAGCTTAAGATCTTCAAAAAGCAGCTAATGCTGTCGAGTCTACAACAGAGTCTAAGCTGAAGAAGAGTGGGCTGATAATCAATGTTAACAATTATTTACAGGTAAGGCAGTTATTGCTGATAAATATGGCCAATATCTTTTTGAAATTGTTGATATGTGAAACATGTGCTTACTAACTTTAAACGTTTGTTTGTTGTCTTAACCTTTTGTCTCAAGATCTTATATCTTTTTATGACAAATATGCAACAGCAGAATAAATCAGGTTGGAAATATTTTTAAGGCACTGTACCTGAGTCCGGTTGAGGTTTCTTGTCCCCAACATGCACTATGGTGCAACTGTAGCTACACTGGCTGGTTATGGACACCACACTTTCGGGTTTGTTTGGTACAGAAAGGGGCAGCGATGTGCCCACTACCGCTGTGGCCGCGTCACTGGACTTTTTGTCGTGATCTTCCAAAGCGGAGAGAGAAGACTGATTCTTCAACAAGGCTGGTTCTGCCAAAGAGAACAGAGAACAAGTGATACTGACTTCTAGTGAAAGGCCGCATGATGAGGTGACAATAGGTGTCTGCTTTCCTTTCTTTGGTAGTAAAACTGAAGTGGTGAGACATACCTTCAGACAACTGCATGCTGTGAGGTCCTTTCTGTTTGTCCTCATCCGACTTAGAGGACGTGGTGTTAGAAGAAGACTGGCACTTCCTTTTCATACTGATGGGAACATTACAGCTCTCGAAGTACCTATAGGAACAACAACAACATAACGTCAATTATAAGCAACTAATCATCAGTAAGACACATCACAAAGCATTTTACGCTGTTAAATAACCATACTGAATAATTGTTACAAGGTTAATAATCATTGAAATTTAATTTAAATGTTATAACCACTGAGAGCAATGAAAGGCCATGAAATTATGTACATTTTATTGGGTTTTTTTAGTGTGGAAAATGATCTATTCTATAAGATCTTAATTGAAGTTTATATGGCTGGGTATGAATTGCGTGACTACCTGACAACACTGTCCAGACAGCTGATCTGCTGATAGGAGCAGGCGTTCTGATATTTGAAGACCGTGTCCTCGTTGGAGGAGGACCGGTTCTCCTCCAACGAGACCCCGGTGTCCTTCCAGTGGAGGGGCGTCGAGTCTTTGGGCCGCACCGCCGTCGAGTGTCTCTGTACACACTCTACTGGAGAAAGGACAGGAGTTAGGGGCGCAATTTCAGAACAACTTTTAGCTGTCTCTGGTTCAGACACACACTCAAATATTTACAGATAAATAAGCAGGGAGTTGTCAACTGGATTTACTGCCATTGCTTTTCTTGATGTCTGGTTTGGTTGTCTGATGCTCAAGGCTTTTCTGAAGATGTATTCCTTTACAGATTTCCTGAAAGGTCCGCTGTGAAATAGAAACCGAATATGTTGATACGACAATTTATTAAGACCTTTTGATAAATTAAACAGAATAGAATAAATTGGCTAAAAAGCTGAGGCTGAGTATTAACTTTTCCCATATCATCCTGTAGCAGGACCACGCTGTACTAAGCTGTGAGTATTTGGGTTTTACTCACTGGTCGTGCTTTGTCGCTCACTTCCTCCTCCTCTTGTTGGATCTTGGCCCCGTTGCTGTTGTTAAGGCTCTCGTTAGAGGAGCTCATGCCCACAAGGTGGTCATTTCTGTTCAGACTGCAGTAACCACTGGAGCCACTGTTATGGACCGGCTGATAGGAACACAGAGAGGGAACAAAGTTGAAAAAAGGATTGGATTAGATGTTGCTTAAATCTCTCGGCTGTTTACATATCAACACTTGCATCTTGTATCCTCTCTCACCTGTAGCAGGAGCCGGTGGATCTGCTCAGTAATCTCCTGGATGTCATTGTCCATGGTCTTCATCTCAATGACAGTTGAGACAGGGGCTGAGAAAACATCTTCATTCACAGGGCCCCTGGTGAACAAAAAGCACATCAGGATGTATCAGAAGTAGAAATGTGAAACTCCCTTATATTTAAAGCAACCATGACAGACTGTACATCGATTAGACAGTCATACTCACATTCGCAGTTTGTGTCTTCCCATAACAAAGGACACCTTGCGGCTCCAGGGGTTGACAAAACTGGACCAGCTGGTGTCCAGAATGAGGTATTCTCCATTTCGCGCACAGAACCGGATGGAGGAGTGGTCGAATGGTTGTCCTGCAAATTGAAGAACTGCAGAGGAAAAGCCAAAAATAATATAGTTAGATCATGTTTGGGAAAGAGACATGGAAACTTCTGAAATCTATTTCATTCTGGGGACTCACTCTTTTTGTGAATGGCCAACATAATCGGTCGGTCATTGGGATGCAGGTGGAGGAGGATTTGTGTGCCAATGAGGTCCTGGGGGAGATACCCAAGGAGAGGAACCGCCCTGAAACACACATACACATGACAAAATGCTGTGTTAGTTAGCAAGCAACAACACCACTTCTTATAGTTTGGGTATAGTTTTGGTTTAAGCTTAGAAAAAAAAACATCCTGCAATCGCTTACCTCTCATCAACATCCTGAAACAAGCAACTCGGTGTGTGTGTGGTGGTGAAGACGCGTTTGTCAGATGGAATTCTGGGTGCTTAAGGGAAAAGAAAGGATTTAAATTGTTAGAGTCTCTTCTATATCAAACCTTTTCAAGTTATAAGCTGCAGGAATAAAACAAAAATAAATTCTAACTTATAACTTAAAGGTAGTTAAGCCCCTCCTCCAACACACACGAACGCGCACATGACCAATGAGGGCACGAGATAAGTTTGTGCACAGATGGAAGGCTGACAGGCAGGTAGGCCATCCAGTTATTTTAGCCGGGCCGGCTAAAATGATTGGTCGTGCTGTTTACAGTATTACGGCTTCCACAGATGACATTTTTTTATGGATTTTTTGTCAAAGCACTTTAGATATTCATTGCTATCGGGATGTTAAGAGCATTCCATGGAATATAACAAAAAGTGTATCTCGAGCCGGTTTCTCAAACTTACCTACCCTACCTTTAAGTCACTTATCTGACAATTTGTATAAATGTTTCTAGTGCAATATACGGAACTGTACAGTTTTTGAACAGTGTAACAGAGTCATGAATTGTTCTTACCATCATAACCAGAGTGAACTCTCTCTGCCAGCAGGAGGCAGCAGAACTGGTCTTCAGCATGCACTGTATCTGGGACCTTCATCCGGTAGGGCGTCATGCGGAATGGATAGTATTGCAGAAAGCCCTCGCTTTTCTTACCACCACTGGAAATGAGGTAAAAATAAAAGAAACCAATTACTATAAGGTTAGGGTTTGTTTCATATAAGTACAGGCCTTCACAAATAATCTCTGTCCAGGTTTGTGGATTTGAGACGTTATGTTATTGAACACTAGGGGGCAGTGTCTAGCTATGTTTCCATCCATGTCTGTGTACAATTAATGAGTGGTTAGTGTGGGGTTATGATAACAGTTATGCAAAGCAGTCATTACATTACATTGAAGGATTGTTATGTGGAATGATTGTGTGTGTTTGTGTCTGTCTGCCTATATGTATAACACTGGCCTGAAACATTTGATGTGACAAATTAATTAAAAATAACATCAAATCAAATCAAATCAAATCAGGTTTTATTTATATAGCACATTTAAAAGCAATTTTTGGTCGAGCCAAAGTGCTGTACATGTAATAAAAACACATTACTATAATCACAATAAACGACAATAAATTACAACAGATATATATAAAAAACAAAATAAAAATAAAAACACAAGGAAAAGTCAGGAGTCGTGCTCCGCTCTAACTAGAAAGCCAGAGAGAAGAAGTGTGTTTTTAGTGTAGATTTAAAAGCCAATCTACATCCATAGTGGAATGATTAAAAACTACAAGCAGGTATGAGCAACAGATGGCCCAACATAATTGTTTTGAACCAACGCACACACCTACCTGATACGACAGAAGAAGGACTTCTTCTGCATGGAGTCAGGCGGTGATGACTCTGAAACGGGAAAAAGAAATGTTAGAATTCATAAAGCATCAGGAACCGGCTGAATCTGGGTCTCAGCCCCAGCAGGAGATCAAGCTTTGATTAACTCTCCGAATAAACATCACTGAAGCTGCAGCACCACACTATGAATTTTAACAGAGTCAAGACTTAATGAAGTGCATAATAGGCTGCAATAATAACAGATAGAGTTCAGCTCTGGGTCTGATGTAAAAAATAAAATGAAGGTCAGAGGCAACAAGTCTATCTCTGATTATCAGACTAGAGAGAACATAATGGGCTCTCTGAGTGGCTGAAAAATAAATAAAACCTTTTCAAGTGTTAATTGTGAAACAACTCCAGTCTTCTCAAGCACCCAATCCAATCTTCCTTGGTTGAAAGGGTAAGTTTCATGAATTTTATAAAACAGGTCAGGGCAACTTGAATTTAATGGATTACGTTGATGGCTACACGTGCTACACTATCACCAAGTGCTAGACTATCACCAAGCAGCCCTGCTTTCTACTGATCTCATTTTCGTATGACTACTTTTGTGTGCTGAATGTAGAAAAAAGACCTGATCCATTCACAGTGTGGTAAGCCAGTACCAATGTGTTGAAGCGGAGAGAGAGAGAGCCATGTATATTTACCTGCTCCGGTGCACATGCTCCAGGAGGGCAGGCGGTACGGCGTTGTGAAGCTGTAGAACACGCTAACATCCTGCGGCGCCAGGAACTCCACAAACGTGCTGTTCTTAAACACGTCTCTTTTGCAGTTTAGGATGGAGGCAGCCTGATCAGAAATGTACACTATTCTTCCTGTGGTGAGAGACACTGCTACTGCAAACATGTCCTTTTGAGGAGACAAAATCCAAATGGTTTACAATAATGCTCACAAACAAGTATTTTTACTGTCAATATTTAATAGTTCTATTCTTTAACTTATAATTCAGGGACTCACATTGTTTTTGAGGGTGTATTCTGAAGTAATGCTGTCTATCTCCTCTATCGTATAAGAGGATACATCCTGGCCTGAAGGTTGACTGTCATTGGTCATCAGCAGCTGGTAATACTCCTCATTGGCTGTAACCCATAGATGGTAATTTGATTAAAATATGGTCACAACACAATAAACAAGACAGAATACATAGTATGTGGACATTGATGTTATAAACAGCAATGACGATTCTGTGTAAGGGGTGCAACAAAAGAATTTTCTATTTGTAAACATTTATTGTGGTACTCTAAGATGTGTATAGAATTAATACTGTACACACAAAGAAATGTGTGTGGTACAAATAATAGCTATATTTCTTAATGTTAATAAGATTGTAGAGTGTATTGTAAGGCTTCAGCAACTTAAACAAAAACATTATAACTTGGTGTTAACACACAAGACAGAGAAGAGGGAAATGTAAATGCTCTTTACCTTCCACCTGTTTGACGCAGCTCAGTGCGTACTTGAGGGTCTTCAGTGTAGAGCACTTGCTGTTGTGTCTCTTCTCAGTAGGCATGTGAAGCTTCAGCTCTTTCAGAGTTTTAATCATCTCTTTCTGGGTCTTAGCTTTGGCAGACTCCTGACTACTGCAAGTTGCACAATCACACACAAAGAGGCAAGTCAGATACTTTTACAAGAAAAGCAATTCCTCAAAAACAGATTTACATTTTGTTTATCATTAAACACTTCTAATCTAAACCATATTCAATGCTAGAAAGGGATGAATTTGTTTCCAGTGTTGTAGCAGAGGTCAGTGCACTAACCTACAGCCGCTGGATGATGGGTTGTCCTGCTCTGAGCTCAGCAGACTGAAGGCGTTGGAGCTGCTCGGAGGAGACGGACTGTGAGAGTTTGAGCTGTGAGAAGAAGGATAATTCAACAATTTGCAACAAAATTGAGCCAGAAATTACCTTAATTACTTCAAAGAGAGACACAAAAAGAGAGGGAGATCAACTGATTTAATCGCCTTTCTCAGTTAAGTGAAGTTTAACGAAAATATAAATTGGTAATTGGTTCCAGTTTGGTGGTATCATTTTGAAATATATCTGACATTAGGCATGTTTTATACACGCATCTCCTTCTCATGCAGCCGAGACATTTGCTGTTACCAAGGTGCTCCAGCTGACCCCTTTTCTAAATATGTATTATTATCTCACAACGTGGGGTTTTGTTAAAGTGGGCTTGTGGAAGCAAATGGAGAACAATGTGAACACCATTTAGCAGCCAGGCAACAAAAGAAAGCCCTCCAGTCTGAGGTCAATCCTACCTCCTTGTGGAATAAGTGCTCGTAGGGTGCAAGAATGATGTAAGACTCTTGTAGTTGTGTTTGTGTGATTCACTGCATTAACCTACAAGCTTAACTTGACACGAATACGCTAAAATCAGAGCACTCTGAGACACAGACTCACAACAACTCAGGTTACTATAACATGCTTATCGGGCTCAAACAAATGCCCACCTTTGTAAAAGAGCTCATATGCTGTACACCTACAGACTGAGAGCAAAGGAGCTATCCGACCATGTTTAACTCTTCAACCCACACTGTTTCAAACAAGTAGGTTCAACAGGCTCAGAAAATTAACATTGGTTTGGTAGAGCTCGGTTATATGGCCCAAAAGGTTTGCCATTAACACATGCACAAATCATACAATTTATTTATCTTTATGTTAGTTAATTGATGTATCAATGTCACTAAACAGGGTTGCATTGTGAAGTAATAGTATTGTTTTTGAGTAGCGCCCAACTATAGTCTCTCTCTCTCTCTCTCTTTTTTTTTCTCAATCACAATATGCACGCCAGATAAAAGCACAAGCCTTAATTGCCGCAACCACCACTGACCTTTTGTTGCTTTCAGAAGATTCCAGTATTGCAGAGTCCTTACTGGTGCCATTGGAGCTGCCCATTGAGGAATGGCCAAGACTCTCAGTGCCATGGCTTGTGTTGCCGTGGCTTTCATTGCTGTGTGATTCAGTTCCACTACCGCTGGAGCCACTGCTCTTCATCTCCATGTCTTCCTCGGGGAGCGATCGAGAGCGGGGGATCTTGCGATGCTTGTGCTGCGAGGCGGGAGGGTGCTGACCGCTGCTGTCGCTGCCCTCCGAGGGGAGGCCTAAGTCAGGCCCACCTTGGCTGTAGCCGCCCATCCGATGCGCTCCATCTTGGTCCTGCATCACAGAGAAGCAGTAGTTCTTGGAGTCTGAATCTCCCGACATCAGGAGGAATGCTGGTCTGGGCTTTTTGCGGGATAATTGTAATTTATTGATAAAAAAACGCTATCATCCCAATTTCATAAGGATGTTGCTTGAAAAATTATTGATCTGTGGAGAAAAAGAGAGTATACATATTAGTGATAAAGTTATGCATATTTCAATATTAAGAAAACTGTAGAGACATAATGGTTGAATGATGTACTAATCAAGTTGGATGTACACAGATACAAAAATATTGGCAAGACAAATCGATGCTTTATCAATCCTCCTTCAAAAAGGTGGGATTCTTTTCTCGTGTGATATCAGAGCACATAGCAGGGTTTAACCTCTTAGCCCTGTTCACTTGATTAGAAACTTTCAGAACATCTATGGATGAGTAGTATCATCTGGAAGTAGGACAGGAAAGGAACATTTTTCTGTTAATAATGAACAAATCTGTTGGCCCTTTCAGCTGGCATAGTGAAGTGGGTTCAGAATCACCCAGTTTGCTTATCAATGACCCGCTGCCAAGTAGTTTATCCTGCGTGAACTGGGTCGACACCCAGGCTAATGACCCGAAAAATGAGAAGGATGAACCAGGGTAATATAGTTTGATGACTGCTCAGTACGATAACATGAAGAAATGATTGAGGAAATTATTTATCTTCAGCCCAAATTGCAGCACTTTGCAAAGTTAAACCCTACCCATCCTCTCCAGCTATTATTCCAGTTGCTGCCATCAGGCTGCAGACTGAAAGTCCCAAAGGCCATCCAAAACAATAACAAGAAATCCTTTATTCCACTAGCTGTGACCATTCCTAAAATGAGCCTGTTTAAATAAAAGAAATGGAACCAAGTATTCAAAGTAAAATGCCCATATAACAGAAGAAGAAAACAGAGTCTGTCTATCATAATCAAAACCTATATCTCCAGTTTCAATACTTTCAGGTTGAGACAATTCTAGAGCATCCATTTGCAAAATTGAAATAATTGTAGAGATCAATAGATGTTGTGATGTTTACAAAAAGTATTGGAGCTACTGCATAATAATCTGGCATTAGGATGTTACTTTGCGCAGTTAAGCATCTTCCCAAACGTCCTACAGTGTTGTTACTACAGCTGAGTACCAAAATCCAACAAGTGATAAAAAAAGCAAGCTTTCACAAAAAGTTTCAGTATCAAACAATAATACCATATTAGTTGACTTTCAACTTGGCCATACAAATCTTAAATATAATTGTAAAATAAATAATAATGAATGAATTCTTCCAAGAGGCTAATGTCTTGATGTAAGATTATTTACCTCAAACCAAACTGCAATGCGCCTGACTCAGCATGATTAGACTCTATCTCTCACATCTCTAATCGGTGCTGGATAAAGCCCCCTGCCATGCAGAGCTGCAGTACTCGCTTTATGAAAGGCGTTTGTACCGGCGTTTTCATGTGACAGTGACAGCAGAGAGTGAGCAGGGCTGGTGTAGTCTACTGACCGGGATTTAGACCCACACTGACAGAGTTATGCAACTTTCATGGTTTACGTACGGTTCAGTCATAACATTTTACATACTTCACAACACAGCACGTTAACGGCAATGTTATCTTCAATGTTCGCACTTTAAAACATACATTCTCTCTATCGCAGAGCAAAACAATTGCAAGTAAACGTAACACTGCATTTGCATTGCATTTATGGGCATTATAATTAAACTCCACCAACCTCACAGAAGGCAAATCTTCTACTGATCCTGCTGTCTCTGTACAAAATAAAGCCTTGTATTCAGAGCTCTTTGTCGTCTCGAATAGAGAAAGCGTACGGATATCGTCTTTCCCAGGCTGCTCTGTCACACTGGCACTGCTCTCTCCCGTTCAAGTTTCTGGATACATCAGGTCCAGAGAGCCGTCCATCTGCAGCGCTCTTAACCAATAGGCGATGCCCGCCCCCAGGAGGGCGGTTATGCGGCTGCTCCTCCGCGCTGCTACTGGTCTCCCGCGCTGTCAGTCTTTTTATATAAGCATGACATAAATTTCACGTGGAAACCCACGGCATCTTCACTCGTGTCAGAACGGAGCAAATTATATGGAAGCAAATAAGAGACAGAATGATTTGAATTTCATCAGACACCGAATTTATAGCATTGAAATATTTTACTTTGAAAACCATGTATCTGAATTTTTTTGCTCCGAATTTAGCTATGTGAAATAAAAATCTGAAATGTCTTGATACGCAATTTCGAAAGCTGAAATTCAATGTTAAAACAATTCGAATGGTCAAATTCAGATCCCCAAATTCAAGTAAAAAAAATGTGAATGGTCAAATTCAGATCCCAAAATTCAAGTTAAAAAAATTTGAATGGACAATTTCGATGCTTAAAATTCGATGTCCAAAATTTCAAGGGAGCTTCATCCGGGCTATCCAGACAGGATAAGCAATCGAGCCTGAATGCAGGGGCGGATCTACCGGGGTGGCATGGGGTGGCAACTGCCACCCTAAAAAATAGCCTTGCCACCCCAGCTGCAACCCCAGTTGGCATCTTTGTTTTGAAAGAAAAGTTGTGGCTCATCGGACATTTATGAGAGACAATCTCTAATGTCCGAGTGCAAGTGAATGCAGCACAAGACGCAAGTCTTGTAACCCCTCCCCCGGCCCTGGCGCGAGCTTGGACATATGATTGGCGGCGATTTCATTTGAACGGGGGACGGCGCAAAATGCGAAGCATTCGGACTCAAGTAGACAGAAGGAATGAGGTATTTGCGGTCTACAATGACAGAGAAGAGACTGTCAAGTTTGGCTGTACTCAGCATTGAATCAAAACGCACTAAAGCTGTTGATCTTAATACGTTTGTGAGGGGTTTTGCTGAACCAAATGGTAATAGCCGCATTCAGCTGTAATAGGCATGCCAACTTGATGCTCTGCTCACGGATGACTCGATGAGCATAAAAAACTGTTCAGATGATGACCTTGTATGTGTGTATATATTATTTTCTTTATGGGGGTCTGCCCCCAAAAACAGTTTTAAGTCCTGAGAAAGTCAAATAAGACAGTGTGTAAAACTACACTGCCCAGCCAAAGAAAAGTAACCACTTTGATTTAACTAGGCCAGTAGGGAAGGACTTTCCACTGGATAATAACTTACTGCAGCGATGTATATGTTTTAGCTGAATACACGTTTTTTTAAACCCTAACTGATGCAGTTAGTCACTTCTTTAATGTTTGTTCTTTCTGATGTAAAGTCAAGGTTGTAACTGTTTGCAGTAAAGTCGTGGGGCGCTGAACTGTTCGTTTGAATCTTTTGATACATGATATAATTACTTGTCTTTCAAATTTGAAGGAGGGTGAGCAAGCATCTTGAGGAACATTCATCATTAACTCCTCCAAAAAATATAGTTTATTCAATAATAAATGAATATGTGAATCAAAACAGTGATTGACAGCTGATAGGAATAATATGATTGTTAATAGTATCATATTCATTCAGACAAACATCGATGAAACAGTTAATTAATGTACTTATTGCAGCAGTCTGCATAGATTTGGTACCCCTGCTGGTCTAAGAGTGAAACAAACTCATTCAGTTATTGTTCAGTTAAAATGCATTAAATTACGTCTGCCACCTTATATATTTATATGTAAGGCTTTACTGATGTGCCACAATAATGTCACCTAATGTTATTGAGTTAAAATATTAATATTGTGGCTTTCCAAGTTAACATTGATTGATATGACTGCGATTAAATCAGCATATACTTCTGCCAGGGGATGCCACCCCTCAAAATCTCCTGCCACCCTCTTGCCACCACATGAATATTTGTCTAGATCCGCCCCAGCCTGAATGCAATCGTACCGACTTCTGGCCTATCAGAGCCAAGCGGCAGTGCATTCACGTTAAAACGTAATAGAGAAGTGTAAAACATTAAGTGGGTTGATACCAAAAGGCTTCTGTGTGAGGTTGGTAAAATAAGGTCATCCTCGTACGTTAGATAGTTAGTTTGCTAGTTAGGTTACTGTATGCATTGTTAAGGTTCATTTAAATTCGCTATATGCACTAAATATAGCTATAGCATAAAATAAACTAGCTAACGTCAACGTATTGTTGAAGAGAGGCTTCTATATTAGTGTATATTAAATTAACCTCACAATAAAATGTGTGTATCTTTAAAATAGGAACGTCACATTTCAAGATGGTCCAGAAATAACGCTCACTTAGATATTGTAATATGTTGAACTGGAGTTATTTATTGCAGCCTATCTGACGAACGAACCCAAACATTGTTGTTTTTATTAATATTATTACCAATGCTTACTTTTCATTTTATTATCATCACACTTGAGAAACAGACTTATTGTGGCTGTAGAACGGAACATGTAACTTAAAGTGGACCTATCATGCTATATTTGAATAATATAGTGTAGGACCATACCTATATAAGGCATATTTATACTTTTTTTTTTTCAAAATACCAAACAGATCATGCATTTTAGCCATGCCTCATTTTGCTCAATTTGACATTTTTTAGCTCTGTTTTTGCAAGGGCAGATTATGTGAGAACAGCACCATCTACAGACCTGGCATATGCACTACAGCGTCTCCAGCGCTTTCGAACGGCAATGGCCGTGGCTGTCTCCTCCTGATTGGTGGAGTTGGCCCAATAGCCGTAGTGCCACCGTCCTGACGTCAGGACAGTGTTCAAATCTGGATCAGTTTTTATCAGATCCGTTGCAGCCCCTTTTTTAGAGATTTGGGTATGGAGGAAAATAGAGAGGGTTGTGTTTTCTGACACTTGGTGAGTTCCCTGGAACACCGGGGACACATATTCATGTATAAAAGACGTACAAAAGTGCATTTTGCATGATAGGTCCCCTTTAAAGCCTGCATTTAAGGACGATGAAAAGCGTAGTCTATACTTCAGTGACAAGGAAATGATTTGTTTAAATATTAGATATGACGTTATCTGTGACTTCAGTGAAAATTAAGCTTATCCATTGCATTGCATTGCATTTGTTAAATAGGTGTGTGTCTTACCC